CAGTTGCTTCCTATGTGGTATGCCTTATGCAACATTAAATCACCTTCCTTCCTTTGCAGTTTTATAGACCTACCAAATCTGTCAGCATCTATATACAGCACAGATCTTTGCAGCAGATTGCGTGCATTCCTTCTTACATGCCCACCATCTGGCCCTTCACCACCTGTGGCAGAACTTGTTATAGCAACAGCAGATTTCCAGCGAGATCTTGCCAGCTGGAACATAAGGTAATTCTTTTCATAACAATCAATTTTGTATTAATTGTCCTTTGCACTATTGCAAACTCATTTATCTTTCTTCCAGTCATATGAAAGGTGGCGTTGATGCAAAGGAGTTGTTCCACTTGTACATCATGATATGGATTCAAGATAAGCAGCAATCTCTACTTGAGTCATGTAAATTAGATAAGGTACATTCTTTAAGCAACAACCTTACTGCAGATAGATAATATAAAACGGTTGATTCCTACTGCTGAACCAGATTTGCTTCTTGTAATAACTTCATAAATGTACCGGGGCCTAATTGATTTGAATCAGGAAGAGCATATCTTTGTCACCTTGTCTAAGCATGTGATAACTTATCTTTATTTTCTTTTTTAAATGATTAAAAATGAAATCCACAAATGAAGACTGTGCTAAAAATATGTTATTCTAGAAGCATCTTGCAGATTTTATCAAACTGGTCTTCAAGGAATTTTTGTCATGTAAAGTTGTCTGAAACTTATATATTTGCAGGTAAAGTGGTCAGGAGTTAGAACACAACATTGTACGACTCCTTTTGTTGATGAAATGTATGACCGACTGCGGGAGACCTTGAATGACTATGAAGTCATCATCTGCCGCTGGCCTGAATATATTTTTGTGCTAGAAAATGTATGTAATCTAATCCAATTTTCATTTCTTGTTTTGTCCTTGTAGTCCTCTTCATGCATTAACATGCAACAAATGTTACCATGCTGGTCTTATCAAAAATTAACTTATTTTAGAAAAAGAGACGTGGAGAGATTTCTAGCTGCTAGTTAATTATGTTTTGCACTAGTGATCTTCCAATCAATCTACATCATGAATTGTTTAACCAGCGTTTTCTAATAAAAATAAGACTTTGGGCTATGTTTCACACCAGGCCATTTCAGATGTTGAGAAAGCAATAGTGGAAGCTCTGGATAAGCAGTATGCAGATGTAGTATCTCCTTTGAAGGAAAATTTGGCACCAAAGAAATTTGGCCTTAAGTACATGCAGAAACTTGCTAAAAGATCTGTATGCTCCTATACCGTTCCTGATGAGGTAAGCCACAGATTTTTTAGTTAACAGAATCTCCCTTGGATTTGCATACTCTTTTGAGTCTTTTTGCTGAAGAATTTGATTGCTGCTTCCAGCTGGGCATCCTGTTGAATTCTATGAGAAGGATGCTTGATTTCCTACGTCCGAAGATAGAGACCCAGTTTAAGTCATGGGGTTCTTGCATCCCTGAAGGTGGAAACGCAGCTCCTGGGGAGCATCTTAGTGAGGTCACAGTGATGTTGAGAACCAAGTTTAGAGGATACCTGCAGGCTGTTGTTGAAAAGCTTGCCGAGAATGTGAGTCTCACTATTAGGTCACACTGGCCTTTTTAATTTGTCTTGTCTGGTATTTACAAAAGAAGATAAGATATAGGTTATAATTTGATTGGTATTGCTGACCAGGATATATTGCAGAGTGATTTCTTCTAGTTTTAATATTTATTTCCATCTCCCATATACAAAATTAAAAAAATAAAAAAAAAGAAAGAAATCTTTCATTCAAAATAAAAAAAAATTAAAAAAATAAAAAAAAAGAGAAATCTCTCATTGGATGATAAATATGAATTAATCTAAAATATATCTGAAAACTGAAAAGAACTGTTATATACGCAAAAATTCTTAGGCTATAGCTAGAATTAGCTTTGGTAGATAATTTAATTGTGTGGGTATCAGTATTGGCTATTCTCAGATTCTGAGGCTGTCTATCCAGTTTAGCTTGTTTATCACTCTCATCTTTCCTTCTACATGCAGACTGTATAAGGCAATATATATTCTCAAAGTTTCACATTCAATTCAAACATGTTGATCTATTATTTTATTTGCAGATTGTATCATTCAGTCAGTTTTCATCGTACTAGATGCAGTATGAGTCAATTATATATACTTGAAGTTTCCCATTCAATCAATTTGTTTGAGTAATATTTTGTTTATACTGTGGAATTGAATTTTTTTTTTGCCTTCTTACCTGCAGACCAAATTACAGAACTCAACAAAATTGAAAAAGATTCTCCAAGATTCTAAAGAAACAGTTGGAGAGTCTGATATACGAGGCAGAATGCAGCCATTAAAAGAACAGCTGACAAGTACAATAAATCACCTTCATACTGTTTTTGAGACTCATGTTTTCACTGCAATTTGCCGATGGTACTGGGATCGGATGGGACAGGTAAGTTATAGGTGAATGATGCTGTAAATGGTTCCAAGTTAATAATTTGGCACGTCTTACATGAATTTTTTTCTCTCATTGCAGGATGTTCTCAGCTTCTTGGAAAACAGGAAAGAAAATAGATCGTGGTACAAAGGTTCCAGAATTGCTGTATCTGTAAGTAAAAACATAACAATCTGTTGATTCCTTGTTGAAAATAAGGTCCCAAATTAGTTATTACAATGTTAAACCGATGGATCACTTACTGAGCTTTGCATCTCTCAACTGATGCTTGATGAGTTGGTTCTTGCATTAATATACTTATCAATACGGAGTTTGCCTGAAAAAAAAAAGGATGTGATCTAAACTCTGATGTATTCTGCAATTTGGATGTTTGATGTCACATTTACCTAGAGATCTAGGTTGCTTCAAAGTTGAAAGGCAAAAATTGTTGCGAGTCTTTGCTCATATGTTTTACTAACACATCAAATTATTGTATAGGTCATTATTGATGGTATCTCTGCAGGAAATTGCATATCACAACATAAACCTTAGCATCAGTCTTAAAACATTGAATTGTTGATGCTAACAACATTTTTAATGCCAAACACGTAGGCAACTGTATAAACAATCAAATTATTGAGAAAATATAGATGGCTCAAAATCTTTTTTAATAACTGAATGAAAATCATAAAGGCTAAGCTAAGAAGGAATATTCTGTTCAAAATGCGAATGCAAGGTTTTTCCTAAATACATGTGATCATAGGAAGCTGTAAGATGTTCACACCTGAACTAATTTGATTTGGATTCTTGGAAACATTAGAATTTTGGTAGGTACAGCATCGGTTATTTCATTTCTTGATTTCACCTGTGTTATTCTCAAGATTCCTTCAATGTTTGTTCTTCTTGCTAGAATCAACATCCTTTTGTATTTTTGACATTGTACCCCATTGTTAATTTGCAGATTCTAGATGATACTTTTGCATCACAGATGCAGCAACTCATCGGAAATGCACTCCCAGAAAAGGACCTGGAGCCACCAAGGTCTATCATGGAGGTGCAGTCGATGCTCGGTAAGGATGCTCGCAATCACAAGGACAACTCATACTACTACTAGACACAGTTATTTGGGTAAGATATGGATGAGCTGGCGACACACACATTACAATAAAAGCCTTGGAGATAAAAGTTGCCGCCCAGATGAGATGATCTCAATGACCTTCTGGAGAACGAGATGACTGAATTTGGTCATCTGCGTATGTTTATGCATATGATACCCTTTCTGGGCTATTAGCTATTACAGTTTTGAAAGAGAGCAAGTGACTCAACTGCTCTAAATTCATAGGTCAGCTCTCATATATATATATAGATACAGATATATAAATATAAAGAATACTGAGAAAACCGAAATTCTTTGCTCTCATATTTTTCCTTTTAAATATAATACACCCAGTATGTTTCTACTTCCTTTCTTTCCCTTCCCCACAGCTTTTATCTTTCTCAGCATGTTTGCATAGACTTTCCTGGGTATATTCTGGGCAGAAAAAAACAAAGGAAGAAGGAAGAATAAAGGCAAAGATAATGCTTCTGGAATTTTAAAAACCTGAAACCCGTTGTGGCTGGTAATTCTTCGTCCTTATAATTTATATAGGAAATAAATTTTGAAATCTTTTTTTTTTTTCAGGTAAAAAGATGTAGATTACACTCCTAGTATAAAAGGTGGTTATAGATATTTGGATTCAAACTTTAAATTTGTTGGTCGATTAAATTCCGGGCTTTAATTTGTTTTATAAACAAAGTATAAATTTGTCTCTACTGAAAAGGGCTGTGGAAGTATAAATTTTTTTAAAGCATTTTGACCTATTATTATCATTGTAACCTTCTTAGGTAAGACTACTGAAACAGCAAATTGAACAAAATTTGTGATTGGAATAGAAATTTAAAAGGAAAAAGAAAACCATATGAGGCTATGTTCTTCCTTAAAGAATCATTGGAAAAATAAAATCAAATAACTATGTAGAAAGAGTTTACCTGAAGTATAAAAAATCCTTCGTATTAAAATTAAACAATTATTCAAGTTTTTTTTTTTTTTTTTGGTTTTAATGCAGTCACTTGAACTTTCAAACTTTTTAAACTTTCAGTTACGTATGAAAATCGGTTAACCGATCCAGATTAAATTGAATAAAAGTAGATGTTTAAATATTTTAAAAATATATATTTAAAATCTCAATTAATTGCTATGAAATCATGACTTAAATGATTGTATGAATTTAGTTGACAGGCTTTTTTATATTTAACCCTAATCATTTCTCTGTCTAAGTTTTGGCTGGATGAAGAGTTTGATTTTACATACTTTTCTAATGAATAAAAGATTCTTCTTATGTTATGCAGAATAAGGAAACCCTATAAATTGAGAATTGTAAAAGAATCCGTGGAAGAAAAAGAACTTTGCTTCCACGTTTCTTAAACACGATTATTTTAGAAAGACTTCCAACAGCTTGCCCTCAAGGGGAAAAACTTCCCTATAATTTCAAAGCTTAATAATAGAGAATTAGAAAGCTTCAACGAAGTGGGCAACAATAGGAACAGAATTCGTCAATGCCTAAAATTTGCATATGCTGGTCACAAACTGCAGAAGTCAGGAGATTAAAAAGGCTGAGCGAGCAGCCATCACACAATGCCAACGAATTTGAATTGCAATCAGAAGTGCTTCTTCCAGGTGAAATATATTTACACAGATTAAATTTAGAATAATGATAGATCAATGATGGACCTGTAGCACGAAAAAGAATGGTGTTCGTGTTACACAACCAGCGAATCACCGAGCTGCATTCTGCATTCGACAGCAAGAAAGCATAGATACAACAGTGAATTCCAATATTACACTTTGTTCCTCCAAACAGTGCTAGGAAATCAGAGAAGCTTTGATATTACATGACAAGAAGTCCAGAAGGCTTTCGAGGCGGCTCTGAGAAGTAAAGGGTTTTGGTATATCCTGTTAAGAGCAAACAAATAAATGCATTGTATCAGCCAAAAGAAAGAGAGTGAAATAAAAATGACATAATGGGAATATTCAGCGTATTGTAGCCAACTGAGGAAACTTCTAGCAACAAATGGAGGAGCTAAGAAATTTGGGTTGTCAAGATTAAAATTATAACCTACCCAATTGCAGTTGCCCCCCAAGATGCCACATTATAAATGACTTTGCTTCCATCCCATGCTTTTCGAAGCTTTCCCTTTTTCTTTTTTGCAGAGAAGGTCTTGCTCAGTGCTACAAGAAAATTCAAAAGAATGTGAACTCCCATACCAAATTAATGGTCAGAAATATTGTATCAATTATAGAATAAAAGATAATATTTGAGATGGAAAATATGGGTTAACCAGCGAAATGGTATCTTTAAATTTTCGTTGACATTTAGGGAGGAATATAACTGGATACCAAAACTCACTAATGAAGACAAACAGACTCACCTTCCTGAAGCTGATTGGGGGTCAGATCCTGGGAAAAATAAAATAAAATAAAAGTTTTTAGCATCCACTGCTGAATAATCCATGATGAACATGCACAGACTGTTTTATTCAGTCAGCCAAAAACTAAGACCACAGAAAAACTTTTGACATAAAACAATCAAAATTTCAGGCTTAAGTGTATTATGTGTGACTGATTAAAAGAGAAAAATTTAAGTCCAAAATAATAATAACTCCAAAAAAGAGCAAGAGTTTCACATACCTTAGTCTGTTTAAGGGACAGCAAATACGCAGCCATAAAACATGCAATGCCTTCTACTATATCCTCCTGCCTGACAAGAACATAATCTTCTTGATCCAAATCAGCATCTTCATCTTCCCAGAGATCATTTGCATTGACCATGTCCCATGAACTGCCGTCTTCTGATTCCAAAGAATTTCATTAGCATCCAGGCAACAAAGATCATTTTAAAAACAATATAAGTTAACAGTCTAAAGCATGAACTTCAATAAACTGAATAAATATGCCTGTTCAATGTCTTTGAAATGAATTGAAAATGACATATGCTAACAGTCCAAAGTAGACGATCTTTGGATGCATACCAGCAATGTCTTCTGGAACTGGCACGTGAGCACACTCTAGCTTCTCAAGGAAGTCAGAGCATTGAACTCTAGATTTTAGAAGATCACACAACTGCATTTCAAATAAAAGGGGCACACAAATTAGATATCCAAGTTATTTCGAAATATTTGATAGGAAAGCAAATGCCAACCTCATCAAGTATTGCAAATTCAGTGGATCTCCTTTTCTATCAGGTTGCTAATTTTATATGCATAATCTATGTCATAAGGCCATTAAAGAACTATTTCATAAATTCAAGGGTTAGAGCATATCAAATCAAGCATAATGGATCACCGTATTAAAGTGGTATTTCAATAATTATTGCCATTAAAAGGTTCAGGCCAACTAGAGTGGAATATGATTTGATCCACGAGATCTAAAAAACAGGCAACTGCAAAGTGGAATACAATGAACAAGATCAAGCAAACATACACTTCACTCTCCAAAGTGGAATACAACAATCACAGGAGGAAAAAAAATTTTTCCTTACTTTTCACAACCATCACTCTATCAGTACCTCAACTTCTAGATGAAGAGAAAGAAGGTTCCAGTTTTTTCACAACATCGGGCTCTGTTTTTACCCTTCATTTATCCAATTTGAAATCATTTTGGATTAGTTCCTAATCTTATATCTTTGGACCAAAAATTTTACTACTTCATAGGATGAATGTTATGATGGAAAAGTTGCAAAGTCTTCTCTTCGTTTTATTCACATTTATCTCTTTTTTCTTTTTTTTTTCAAAATAAATATATGTATACATAGAAAGAAACAAACACATAAGAAAGGAGCATTGCAATCGAGATAACATCAATGAGACAAAGGCTATAAGAATCAAATGGACTCTGAAGCAACGAAAGGCATCATTTAATGAATTGTACAAGGCGAAGGGTGCTTTAATCTATTCAAGTTTTATTTAACAGTTGACTCCAGCCCTCCACCCGCTGTCCTACTTTCATCTGAGTTTTTTTTCTCTATATTTTCAATTCAATAGTGAGAGAATGCAGTTCCAGTCCATATTAGCCTTTAATCTAGAATATGGTTTCTCCATCTTATGACAACATACACACTTCTCAACCAGGCCCAGACTCAAGAATGAAACAATCATCGTAGCAAATCAGCAAACTCCTATCAATAACTAAAACAAACCAAAAGCAAAGCTCAATCAGTACCTTTCTGTCTTGCAAAACAACACCCTGTAAGCATGCAGCAGTTAAAAAGTAATTGAAATAGATATGCAACTGATGCATCCAACACAAACCAGACAATTATCCAAATGAGAACTACCATTAGCATAATATAATTTCAATTGTCTCATTCAAGGTGAGTTCAACTCAGATCTGAATTACTCATCACTCAAAGAAGAAACACATAATCCTCAATGAACTGCTTAAACTTAACTGAACCTCTATTAAAAATTCCGAATTTCTCCTCTGAACACTTAACTCCCCGTAAAGAAACATAGTATAAGTTTAAACAAACTAAATCTTCAAAAACAACATGACAATTTCACCAAAACCAAAATCAATAGCTTTCACGAGCTAAAAAACATTATATAAGAGTCTCACTTATCTTCCTTTCCTTCTCTTTCCCTCGTTTTTCTTAGCATCGAAATGGAAATCTAAATCCAGAATCAAGCACTAAGAACACTGAGAACAAACAATAAACAAAAAGAATTAAGCAAACCTCGTCGGCTTCTTGATCTCTTCGAAGACCGACGCCCCTGACTTCCCCTTGATGATCCACATCATCTTTATCATCGTCATCTTCATCGTCATCATCGTCGTCGTCGATTCCACCTTCGCTGTTACTAAGCAATTCGAGAGCCCTCTGGCACTGTTCCAGCACAGCTTGCAAAGTCTTCCTCTTGACCCGAACCTGATCTTTCTCTTCCACAACTTTTCCCTTCATCTCCACCACTTCCATCGCCAATGATTCGTTGCTCGAACCCGATACCTCTATCTCAATATCACCAACCCTAAAACAATCTCAAATTTCCACCTAAGCCCCTCGAATTCAAACCCTAGACAAATCAAATCAGATTAAATTAAAAAATTTTTAAATTCTCACCCTTTAAGAAATCGGAAATCGGAAATCGAAGGAAGAAAGGAAATTGAATTTTATTTTATTTTTAGAATTATTGGTGAAGAAAAACATGGTTTTTTTTTTTCTTTTTCTAATTTTTTGGGGGTAAAAAAGAAAAGAACGTTTGTTTTTGGCTGCGAAAAGAGGAAAGAAAGAAGGGCGGAGGAGGGGCATATAGCCGCCGTGTCCGCTACATGCTGGATTTTGAGGTCCGTTTTGGTTTGGGTTGCGTGCCCGACCACACGAGGCAACGAGAATTTAGTCGATTTAATTAATTATTTATTGTTTTATATATTAAGTTTGTGTTTAACTCCAACTAATCTCGGTTTTTATCCACAATAACGTTTCGTTTCGTTCGTTTCGTTTCTTGGTTTGGACGTTTGATGAAAACTAAAACATAGTTCAACTCGTTTCTCTTGTGCTGTCGTTTTGGGAGTTCGAATTTTATTGAAAATATCGTATATCATTTCGTAATTTGTATTAATATATTAAATATAAATATTTTTTAAATTTTTTAAACTCATATCTAATTTTATTATATAGTTTTTATTATATTATTATATATATCTAAAATTATCATGCTTATTCTATAAAAAGTTGTAGCTATTTTGTCAAAGAAAGGATAACAATGAACAATTCAAAAATATATAATGTTCATACTAATTTCCTTTAAAAAATTAGTATAATTTAGACACTTGATTACTTCATTTTAATATTATATATCTCTTTGAATTTTAAATCATTTAACACAAAATTTGAAGAAATTACGAGAGTACTTTCTTCCAATTCTCCAACATGTATGAAGGAAAAAAATATGAATTCTTACATTACATTTTGTCTATGAAATGTAATTGAAAACTTTTAAGTGAAATTTGAGGTAAAAATAAATAAAAATAAATAAAAAATTTAAATTAAAATGATAATATTTAGATCGATCTTTTTATTTAATTTGATTCAAATTTTTATACTTTATATTTAATTTTAATTTTTTTATCAAAAAGTGAAAAATTAAAAATATTTAAATTAAATCGAATCACTAAATGCATAACAGGTAACTACTGAAATCATCTAAATAATAAATCCACCCCAAGATAAGTGTTCTCCTTGTTCTCTTATTTCAACTTCCCTAAAGCCTTCGATAACATAGCCGATATAGTAAAGGATTCTTTATCCTTACAAGGATCGTCTGACAGAAATTTTGAAAATTTAAGAGAAAGTTATGACAAGATGAGCCATTTATCATTACGATATATGTCAAGTGAAAGTGCAATGACATGCAGTTGAGGCATCCTAATACACTTATAGACTTGAACCTCATTTCTACATGACCCAATCAGTTTGATTAAGCACTTGTAATCTATTTTCATTGTCCAACTCTTTGACAACATGAAAAAACCAAAAGTCTACCTCCCTTTCTATCTATCCATGGGATGGAAGGGCGGAGACCTTTGGTGTCCCCTCCAGTCAAGAATTGGGACCTCATAATCACTAGCCAATATACTTTTCCTTTTCTCGCACGCCTTTCTTCGTTCATGGTTCGATATTCTGGTGTCCTAAGCATGGATGACAACACTAATCCATCACGAACTTATTAGTTAAATTCTATTATGGTGATAATACTGAATGAGAGGTTCTACAAAAAAATAACTCGACACCTGGATAATAAAAAGCTTAACATCTTTTATTCTTATTATTTTTTCAATATGAAAAAGAAAAAAAACAAAATATGAAAATGTTATCTTATTCAAAACCTTAATTATGAAATCTCCTATCTCTCATTTCATAACTTATAATGCACTTTTCTTATAAAAGAAAGGCACTTTCACATATTCTTAACTCGAAATGGTATTATACACCAAAAAATATAAAGAATTACAATCCCCATCACACCTAAAATTCTAAGAATTTGTTAATAATTATAATATATTTTGTAATTTGAGTTGACTGATCCATCGTAAATTAAAAATAATTTTGTATGGTCTTTTCCTATTCCTTTTATGTCATAAGGTTAAAATAAAAAAAATATTTGTTTATTTCATGATGTTTCCTTATGTTATCAATAAAACCTTCTCCTAAAAATATTTTAACAATGTTTTCAATCATGTTAGTAGATCCCATTCAAATCGTTATTACATTTCATGTAGAAGTTGTTATGTCAGCATCAGTGTCTTTACTCATGATTAATTATATATTTTAAATTTGTATAAAATAAAATAATTATTTTATATCTAAATATATTTCAAACAATATGAAAATAAAATATAAAAAAATAATTTTAAAAAACTATTGAACCGAATTAATAAAATTCGATTTGAGTTAATTTATTTTCTTAAAAAGGTAGCTCAAATTCGAATCAAAATTTAAAATTTTATAATATTAGGAGTTAACCAAACTAATCAAAGTAAATCCAATATAATTTGATCTATTATTACTCTTATATGAAATTATGAAATTACCTAAAGTTTATATTCTCGACCTTTTTTTCTTAATTTATATTTTCCATCTTTTACGCAAAACAAAGAGATAGGAAACTTATTGTTTGCTTTCTTTACTTCCCATTGTCATTTTTTCAAAATTTCCCTAATTTTCATTATTTTTGTTTTATTTTTATTATAATAATTAATGTTGAAAACACCTATGATTTTTAAATTATGAGTCATATTTTATTTTGGTATTTAATCTTAAAAAAAAATTATAATAAGATATTCAATAACTTAAAATTATATTCTTTTAGTCATTCTGTCAATGAAATCGTTTAAATTTATTATAAACACTAGCTGTTATCACGTAAATGACATTAACTAATAACTCACATAGTAGATGTAAGAACCAAATTAGTATTTCGCTCAAAGTTTACCATAAAAATGCTACTATCTTGAAATTTTTTATATTTTATATATTTTTAAAAAATATATTTTTATATTTTTGACTTAATATAATTTTTTTTTTGTTTTTAATAAAAAATAGATTTCTAAAAATTAAACCTAAGATAAACATGTCAAATCCTCCTTATTAAATAAAAAAAATATTTTTATTAAAATATTATTTGTACTAATAAATCATAGTATGAAATATTATTTTCTATCAAAAATATATTTTTATTAAAAATATAAAATATATTATCCTTTTTTCCTTTTTCAAATTTATTTTTTATAAATATATTTTATAAAAAAGAAAAAAGAAAACAATAATAAAAATAATTAAAGAAATATTTTATTTTTTATATTTCAAATATATTTTATGAAATATTATAATTTAAAATAGTTTATTTTTTATTATGATATAATTTATTAGTAAAATCATATATTTTATAGAAAAAAGATTTAAAAAATTAAAATTAAGTTAAAAATTTCAAAATCTTTTTTAGAAATTTATGTCATTTTAAAATTTAATAAAGAAAAAAATATTTTTTATGATTCTCTATTTTTCATTTTTTAAAAATATGAAATTTTAATAAAGAAAATAGTCAAACTAAAATTTTCAATAGAAAAATTATTGAATAGACTAATAATTTGATTTTTTAAAATTATATGAAAAATTTTACTTAATATTTTAAAATTATATGATTTTTTTTAATTTAATATTTTAAACCAATGTAGAAATTTTTACTAAATTTTTGAAAATAATATTGATTTTTTAAACATATTTTGAAAATTTAACTTAATTTTAATTTTTGAAAAAATATTTTTCTATTAAAAACAAAAAAATTTAGCTAATAAATTATATTATGATATAAATATAATAATATTTTTTAATTTAATATTTTATAAAATATATTGGAAATATAAAAAAAATTTGAGCTAGCATTATTGATTCTTAAATTTTGAACGAAATTCTATTTTGATCACTTTATTTTCAGCATAAGATGTCATCTAATGCTACTTACGGGTGCTGATTGGAACTTATTGTTAATTTAAATAATTTCATAAAATAACATAAAATAACTTTAAAATATTAAGAATCCAATTATAACATTTTTAATGTTATAAATCATAATAAAATTTAACTCAAAATTTATGAACCATCTTAACCGAAATAATTAATAAATGTAGTGGAGTTTTAATTTAATTTTCATAGTTATAAAACCTACCAATCACATGGAAGGATTTTTTGCTTTATTTTTGTCAAAATTTCTTTCCATCATAACAATTTATAAATGAAGTTTTGAATTCAAGTATAGTAATTACAAAACTTAATTGGCAGAGACCATAACAATTTCAAATATATTTTTTAAATTCTCATAATTTTTACCATTTGATGAAAAGTAAAAATACTAAAAAATCGTTTTAAATTCCAAAACATGTAGCTCAAATTATATTTTGACACTTTTTTATTAACTTATGTCTTATGAAAATAATTATTTTTTTATCAAATCATGATTAATATAAAATTTAAGCAATTGAATTTAAATAAGAAGTGACAAATTGAAAATTTAATCTTGGTTAGGGAGAAATTGAATTTTCAAATATTGTTATATTCACTTTCATATGGAAGATCTTAAGCTTTTGCTGACGAAAGTGTTGAATGTTATATTTGAATGAAGAAAGTGTAAATAAACTAAAAAAAATTAAAAAGAAAAACAACTCTTAATTCTTGCAAAACATTATAAAATTATATAAATTACATTTTTCCGATTCACATTTTTTCTTTGGGCAAGTTAAGATATAATGTATTTAAAAAAAAAAAAAAACAATGCATGGTATGATAATAATCTCCCTTTCAAACAAAATCGCAATGTTACATTCAGCCAAAAAAATCCAGTAGTATAGGTATAGTCTAACATAAAGCATTTGACTTAGATGATAAAAATATAATATTTATTTTTTAAATTAAAAATAAATATTTTTGATTGATTTATTTTTTTGTTAGGTCCAAATAAAATATTTTTTCTATTTTTAAATACGTTATACCCTTACTTTTTATCTTTAAAATTTATTTATTTATACTTTTTGAAAAAAAAACATGACACAGTAATATTAAAAAAAATAAATTATAATATTAAGTATATAAAACATTTAAAATGAAACGAAAGCGCAATTTGTAAGATTTTTTTTTTCAAAAGTATATAATATAATATAATATTAACTTAATGCTACGTCAATAGTGGATATGATCTTACCTGTGCAAAAAAAAAAAAAAGAAACAACGGCTATGATCTTTTTTGCCCTCATATCTTGGATCGGATCGTTTTGTTTTTGTTTTTGTTTTTAACTCAATCAATCAACGTCGACGAGGTCCCCGCATAGCCCAATGGACCCCGAACGAGATCATAGCAACCGTGATCAATTCCATAAATCATCTTCCTCCATCAGTGAATTCAAGGCGTAATCATGCAGTCAAATAGAATAATTACCACTGACAATTTCTCCAAACACAATATATTTCGGATCAAAAAAGTAGAATAAAATCAAAGAATATCGACGGTACATGCGGCTGCAAAAGTTCCGGCTCCCTTCTGTTACGGAGGAGAATTTTACCTGGTTTCCTCAATCAATTTGGAGCCAAAAACACTCTCACACAAACAAAGAAAAGAAAAAAAAAAGCAGAGAAAAATTCTCTGTTCTCACCTTGACGCTTCTTCTTTATTTCCTTTTTCTTTTCTTCTACATTTTCCTTTCTTCTTTTCCACCGGTAAGTTTCAAATTCACATAAAAGTTTTTTTTTTTTTTTGCTTTCTTGTTATTTTCATTTGGTTTTGAGTTTTGAAATTGCTTTTTTTTTTTTGTTTAAATGTTGTGAATGACTGGCATTATTGAAATTGATGAGTGCAAGGTGGTGCAGAGGCTGTTGATCTTTTGATTTTGTGACGTGTTTGGGATGTGATTTTTCTGGTTCTAAGTGATCAGAGGATTATGGCTACCAAAAAGGATGAACTATCTCAGCCACAACAGGTTTTGATCAATCTCTTTTTTTATTTTTTTGTGAGTGTTAATTTTCTAGTTCGTTTATGCCAGGCTTTGATGTTGAGAAGCAGAAAAAAGAAGAACTACATTCTGTGTTTTTAACGGAGATTTTACGTATTTATTTATTTTGTTATCAGAAAATTCCTAACAAAAAGGAAGAGCCGTCACAACAGGTTTTGATAATCTCTTTCTCTCTCCCTCTTTTTTTTTTTTTTGCTTTTTCTTGTATTCATTTTCTATTCGTTTTTAGAAGAATTTGATATTCAGAAAACAGCAAAAAAGAAAAAAGAAACCTACATGTGATTTTACGTTAATTCTTTTTAATTTTATTAAAACCTACATTGTTATTTACGTTAATTCTTTTTAATTTTATTGATTAGAAAATGCCTAGCAAAAAGGAAGAACCGTCTCAAGCACAACAGGTTATTTTTCTTTTAATTTTTTTTACATTATAGTTTTTATAGAAAATTTGTACTTATTTTTCTTTTAACTTTTTTTCGTTATAGTTTTTATAGAAAATTTGCACGGAAGATTATTTTCTATTTTGTTTCTCATCGTTAGCGGTGTAATTTTGTTAGCAGAGGATGGGGTCCAAAAAGGAAGAGCCGTCTCAAGGACATCAGGTGTGAATCAATCTTGCTTTTTTCTGATTATTTTTTTAAGGAAAGGATTTGAACCATAGGGGGAAAAACAAAACCTAAATTCTGATTTTTAAAGGAGATTTTGTGTTGAAAATCATTTTTGTTTTCTCTCAAGGGAGATGCTCCAGCTTCTGCTCCAGGTCCACCCGGTCCACCAGGCCCGCCAGATCATTTGCATTCTCGTAGTGGCAACTCGGTAAACTGCTCTCTCTCCCTCCCCTACGAATTGCTATTTACTATTCTGAATTTAAACCGTTGACTGAAAATTACATGTGACTATTCATTCCCTAAATTACCATGCAGTCATCTTTTTATCATCGAGATTGTGTTTACAATCATATTTGTCTACCACATGTCTACATCTTATGTGCTTGGGATTTCAACTAGAAGTTTTGAACCATTTCATGGAAAGATTGTATGTATAGCAGTTATTGTCTTTTGATATTATCAAACATATTATAGCTGTTGCTAACCGCATGAAGCTTAATCCTTGATTTTTAAGTGACCATGAGGAATTTGGTTACAAGAGAATGAACTGTGTTCTGTATTTTAAGTGCATTGCTAGATTTTTCTTTACTGAGATCATTTCTTACATTGTCCTGCATTCCCTGTTTCTTAAGTATGCAAGTTACAAAGGGGTAAAATTTAGTGCATTTGAAGGTTTAAAACTTTTCTTGCAGATTTTAAAGAGCGGGCCACTTTTTTTATCATCCAAAGGTTTGTTTCTTTTTTATTTGCTTCTTCTTATCACCCTTTGCAATTTAATTCAGTTAGTTATTTGACTTTCACCTTACTTTTTGTGAAGCACAACCTCCAATTGCATTTGCAATGTAATTCAGTTACTCATTTGCCTTTCACCTTACTATTTGTGAAGCACAACCTATACTTACATTTTACTAGAAAAATATGCATTATGAGGTTTATGTTGAAAATTACAGTCCCAAGACAATGGCTTGGATTCCTCTGGGTTATTTTTATCCCTTTTTTCCCATACTTTTCTTTGATTAAAGGAATTGGATGGACATCATGGAAGAAAAGGTGGTTTATCTTGACACATACTTCACTGGTTTTCTTCAGAAGTGATCCTGTAAGTACTTGCAATCTGGCAGATTGTCAGTCTCAACATGGATGCATGTGCTTGTTTATCTTTTTTTTTACATCCTCTGTTTCTGTTTTCTTGGCACAACAACTGAATGATCATAAAGAAACAGTAAAGTGGCTCTCCGAAAAATAAAAGAAAAAAGAAGCAAAGTGATACAAGGTCAAACAATGTGCTGCTGTTTTACTGACTCTACTAGATTTTAAGATCCTCAGCGTCATGGATGATACTAATTTGCAATGATTATCTTTTATATCCTCTAATTCTCTCTCACTCAAGACGAATGAAAATGAGACTTTTGTATCTATCTCAGGCAGCAGGTCTTGTTACTGGTTTTACAGTTTTTAGGTTGTCTTTGGATAGTCTAAATAAGATTATCAGGAAATTCTCATACTATGTTAAGCCTATGGAAATTGGGAAGCATGATCTAAAGATAAATCATTAGTGGGGCTAAATTCATGAAATTTACTTATCAAGGAGAAATGAATGCTAATTTAGAGCCATTAGCAAGACTTCCAGATGTACATTTTTAGTGCAGTAGAAATGGTAGTTTTGATTAAAAAATATATAAAAAAGAGATGGTTTTTACTAAACACTGCTTAATCTGACAATTATGGTACTATAGTTCGATATAACAATTCATTCACCAATTCCTGTTTGGTTCCCCAGCAGACTGACCCTAAAAATGAAAGATGGAAATTCATTAATAGGTACTCCCGATTTATTATTGGGGTAAACTTTAATTAGATGCCCTATAACAGTTATGGGGCCTCTTTTATGGGGTCTGATATTTGAGGCCTCAACTAATATAGAAAAATGACTTAACTGTTGCTTTCGTTGAGGAAAGGACTTGGGCTTGGATATGGGGGAAAATCTCCAGTATGCCGTCCCTGGGACAGAAGTAAAAATCTAGATGGTTTGATACTTACTGGTTAGATGTTATTAGTATCCTGGTAATAACTTGTTCTCTTGTCTCCACATACCATGCACTAGTCCATTTCTCTTTCTCTTGCTGCATCTTGCATACTTAAGGATTTAGAAGATTAATGAACTGTTGTTTTACTTCTCAGAATGCCATTTCCCAGAAGGGAAATGAAGTGAATTTAACTCTTGGTGGTATTGATCTCAACAATTCAGGCAGGTTGGCTTGCTTTTCTGAATAGATTATCAATTCATGATTTCTTCTTCAAGTTGCGAATATCATGACAGTTGGAAGTGTTTACTAACTCGTGGTACCTTTCCAAATTTAAAGTGTGGTTGTCAAAGCTGATAAAAAACTCATAACTGTACTATTTCATGATGGCCGTGACGGACGAACCTTCACACTCAAGGTGCTTCCTCCCTTTCTCCATCTATAATATCTCTTCTGATTACGTTTTTTTTTTACTGTTTTGGATCATACTTTCCTCTAAACTGTTTAGTTGAGTGGGTTTTCAGATTCATGACTCTTTAGTGTTATCTGTTCCTTAGCTTGATAAATAGTTGTGAGCTTTCTGTTCAAAAGGCATTGAATATCAAGATTCGGCCAAAACAGTAAAAGATCTTCTTCGTATCAAGGATGACCAAATAAATCTGACCAAGACTATGCTTTAATGAAAAGCTGAGGACCTTGTTACTGAGCGACCGAACCTGCATGTTACCGGAATGCCTTGAACATGAAAATTTCATTTTTGTTCTAGAAGTTTTATTCTAGTTGGTCATTCTGTACCTGCTGATTGCATTCTGTTATCCTGTGAAACCCATTATTAAGAGCTGTTTTGGCCACGTCACAAGTTTTGAAGGTTGAAATGCAGAGAGAAAAGCACCGATTATGTGTCTATCTGCTGTTATGAGAGAATTCCATGCTTAATCAAGCGGATAACAATGAGATGTTGGGAAAATCAGATGATGGTTCCTTTTGTTGGTGTTGCAGGCTGAAACTTTGGAGGATTTGTATGAGTGGAAGGCTGCACTTGAAAATGCTTTGTCACAAGCACCAAGTTCTGCTCATGTGATGGGACAAAATGGCATCTTTGGGAATGATAAAGCAGATGCAGTTGATGGTTCTAAGAAACCAGGTAAGGTTCAGCAGCCATGTTTTTTTAAGTGTTGTGTGACTTTGCACTAATATATGTACTAGGGCTTCATTTGTATCTAGACTCCCAATTTAAACACCAGAAATAATGCATGATCTATAAGTTCATTTGTATGATGTAACAAAATCAGAAATATTCTACAATGTTACGAACTGGGAGCCTTAGTTGTCAGTTCCTCCAATTCTTGTTTCACCTGCCCTCCGTCTAATTTTCCTTTACCTGTTCACTTTGTTATGGTTTTTACAAGCCTGTCAAGTTGTTTATTTAATGTACCAAGTTTCTAACTTGGTTGGCTGCATTGATTTATTTCTCCTCTCATATGAGATATCATGCTTTTGTCTTTCTCTTTGTTAGTGAATGATAAACAGCCTGTGAGATCTACAGTTGTAGGCAGACCAATTTTACTTGCGCTGGAAGATGTTGATGGATCTCCAACATTTTTGGAGAAGGCCCTAAGATTTGTAGAAGAGCATGGTGAGTTTTTCTTTGTATTAATTGTTGTGATCTCATTGAACTAATATGCTATAAGTTCTAATTCCATATACTGGGTAACTGTCTACTGCCTATATAATCTAGTGAATATATGTGCATTGTGTTTTATTCCTTTCTTGAGACACCCATATTCTGAATCATCTTACTGCACCACTGTATGTGTCTAAATTTTTTTATCTATGTTTCAAGAATTTTCACATTGTTCACAATTTTAGCCCCCCCCCCCCCCCCAATAGCCATGGGTGTGATATGTTATTGTTCGGTGATTGAAGTCTTAAGCAAAGCACTGTTATTTATAATCTTTGAGCTGCTTTTGATCATGTTAAAATAATTTAACAGGAATCAAAGTAGAAGGGATCTTACGGCAAGCTGCAGATGTTGAAGATGTTGAGCGCCGAATTCGGGAATATGAACAGGGTTTGTTCAGACACACTCTGTCCTTGACTATATTCTATAGTCTGGTTTTATTTATGAAATTGATTCCAGCTAAGCTACCATAGGTTGTGTTCTTTGCTTACAATCCTTTGGATTTACACATTCAATGTTTAATGCTCAGCTGTAAACAATGCTATCAATGTTAGCTTTATAAAAACTTAAATTTGAATTGATATTCATGTAAGAAAGTTTCTTTGCTTTTTGAATGGGACAGAGCAAGAAGCCAAAGCCACTTTCTTTACTTGTAGTTCTACATCAGAATACTTTCTGTTCAGTGTTCTTCTAACTCTTTTGGGTCATGCTTTTTTATCCAGGAAAAAGTGAGTTTTCTTCTGAGGAGGATCCACATGTCATTGCTGATTGTGTGAAGGTATGCCTTATTCGCTTCCTCAAGATTCTTTCATTTATGTTAGGCATATACTGATCCTGATACTTTGTTGTTTAATTTCCTTCATGCCATTTTCCAGTATGTTATTCGAGAGTTGCCATCATCTCCTGTCCCTGCATCATGCTGCAATGCACTACTAGAAGCATGCCGTAAGTCTTTTGAAGTGTTTTTTTGGTTTTGCTATCTTACCCCGTACTAAATTGAGTTCGTAACAAGCTTCATCATAATTGGATTCTTGATGCTTCTAATATTAAAGGGAAGTCTGTTTTGGATAATCCCTATTGGAGTTATTATCCATTAATCTAAGTAAAATAGGAATTTCATTGGCTGGGTTCTTGTTTTAAGCATCCATTGTGTGAAGTTCTTATATTCTGAATTGGTTGACTCCGTAAGGGATGTGGTAGAAATTGTCCAGTTGAATATCTTTGAGCTCTACGACATTAAATTTTGGATGATTTACCAATCTGTATGATTTTTGAAGATTTGGTTTTGTTGTTATTCTGTTATCGGACATAATACAACAATTAGGAACTGAGCATGGTGCTAGAGTCAATGCTATGCGTGTGGCAGTATTGGACACGTTTCCTGAGCCAAACCGTCGCTTATTACAGAGGTAATTGATTCATCACTTCACTCTTTGCCCTTTTAAGTATTATGCTTTTCTTGGTACAAGTTATATTTGACATGCAGTTTGTGCATTTATTTCCTGAGCATTATGGATGCTTAAAAAGAGAGCTGTTATTCCATATGGTGGTTAAAATAAGAATATTTTTATATCATGGATTTAAATGATATGCGAATAGTGTAGATATGCTGCTGTTGATTAAGCATATGCATTTAATGTTCTCTTTCCTACAATGCAATTATTATTATCTTTATCAAAATATAAGCAAAAGAATTAAGAAAGATCACATACAACCAACTGTCCATGCATGTAAAGTTAGAAAACCACATTAAAGTTAGACAAGTGGTTTTCTTTGTCAACATTTGGTTAATCAGATTCATTTTCAAAGTCATAATTCAGTTACGTTTACATTGTTTCTTTTCCCTGATATATGTCTTGGTCCTTGCAAATTGGGTGAGTGGGAAATGGGGAATAATAATCTTGTAGAAGACATAAATATAGAAACTACAATCACTAAGCCTAGCACACCAGAACTTATTGAATAATTTAAAATTGATCACTCAAAAAGCAGAGTACATCCCTTAACTTTCTTTTAGTTTTCTGCACTAAGTTGATTGTTGTTGAAAAATTATGAGTGATATGCCTTGAGAATGCTTTCTCATAACTACCGTCATTTTTTGAAAAATTGGGTTTCGATCTTACTTCAACAATTAAGGTATCACCTGCATTCTTCGCTATTTTGGCTTCTACTTACCTTATCTATATTTATATTTTTTTGGTTCCTTTCTTTCAGAATCCTAATGATGATGCAAACTGTGGCCTCTAAAAAAACTGAAAATCGGATGAGCTCTTCAGCTGTGGCAGCATGCATGGCACCCTTGCTTCTTCGCCCCCTTCTATCTGGTGACTGTGAGATTGAAAATGATTTTGATGTGGGTGGTGATGGTTCAATTCAACTGCTGCAAGCAGCTGCTGCAGCCAATCATGCTCAAGCCATTGTTATAACATTATTGGAAGAGTATGATAAAATATTTGGGGTAAGCTGTAATTATTGTCTTCTTTTTCACAACTGCCTCCGATATGGCTTTTTGTAGTCATTATACAAACAAATATGTACCCCATAAATTTATGAGCTGTAAGGCTTTATCTTTTGTTCACAATCGATATGTTTTATTTTCTTTTTGTTCTTTTGGAGAAAACATGGTAATTAAGTAAAAAATTGTTTGTGTTGTCCTGGCCTATCATTGGTAGAGAATCTAAAGTGTCTAGATCATGACTGTCTAGATCTTGTCTAGTCATAATATCCTTATGTCTGTACTGTCTTCTTGTCCTTATTTATGCAGTAATTACCCTACATTCTTTTCTTACAATGCAAAAAATACATGTGACAGTCATCATAGCGGAGCTAATTGAACATTTCAAAGTCTTTAATAATATTAATAATTAATAATTTTCTTAAAAACATAACAGATGATAAATTTGGCTGTTTTTTCCAATTCCAATTTTTTATTACTTTGGTTCGAATTTGGTTTTTACATTGCGATTATCAGCTGAGCATTTTGTTGGCAGGAAGGTTCTGTTTCCCCTGATTTATACTCTGACACGGAAGAGAGTGGAAGTGAAAGCGAGGAGGCAACTGATGATGATGAGTCCTATGATGATGATGATGATGATGAAGATTATGAAGATGATGAATGCGATGATGCAACAGAAGGGTCTGTTGCATACAATGATGAGGACTATGAAACGAGTGGAACAGGCAGCGAGAGTGGTCACTCTGTTAATAATGATCTGGATGATGATAAGGCATGTTCCTCTAGTTTCTTAAAATGGCATTTACATATTTAATATTTTGTTCATAAATTTTAAAAATGATGGCAGTAACAAAAAAAATACAAATTTTGGAACAGTTAAAAGCTTTCTCTTCTCCAAATTTCATTTACCTCTCTTTAATGCATGAAATGCACTGAGCACATAGGTTACCAGGTTTATTTGCTCATTCTACATTTTTTAATGATTTTGTAGCTTGTATATATGCTCCCTTTGTCACCATTTGGCGACTCAAGGTTTCTGCTGTCTCCATGTCTTTGTTTGTTTTCCCCCTAGAATTTGTGCTCATAATATGAACTTGAATTACTGCATATCAAAATGTATTCTACATTAACTTTGCAGCATCATGTATCAGAATCAGATATATAAATTTTTCTCTCTTCCCCTTATACGAATCATGATTTTTTTCTCATTTGCTATTTTTGATTGGTAAAAGGCCAGCTTGTTTTCATGTAGCTATGTGCTATCACATTCTGTGGTCCCTTAGTTTAGATTTTAAGAATTGCTTCTGTTTAACTTTAAAAGGTAAAAAGATCAATAAATCAATAATAGAAAGATGTACTATATTTACATGAACTGAAAATAAAATTGCAGGATTCTGATTATTCAAGCTCAGGTTCCGAGTCCTCCAAAGCTGGTGATGATTTAAAAGCCACCAAGAAGTTTTCAAGTTCACATCACTCTTCACTGTCTGAAAATGATGATTCCGAAAGGAGTGAGGATAATCAGAGTAGCAATAGTTCAGCAATAGAGACCAATAAGTTTGCTGAGCTGTCCAAAGGTGTTCAAGGAGTAACCGAGTTGGATGATAGGTTAACTCATCATAATCAAATCTCATGTGTCCCAAAATCCACATCTATTGGAAACGGACCTGGCCACAACGTTAGGCGTCCCACTGTTTGGGGACGTACTACTGTAAGTGTTTTTTATCTGCATTTAAAATTCTCCTTTTGGCCTAGTTCTATTGACTTTCTCTCTAAGCTAGTAAGCATTTCCAACCATGCATTCTAGCTCTTGCAAGTTACCTAAGATTATTATTTATTAACTTTCCATTGCTCAAGTTGGTCTATGTGTTTATAGTCTTGTAGTAACTAATTGTTTAATTTATCTGGTTTGCTTGTCCAGACAAAGAAGAACCTTTCTATGGAATCCATTGATTTTCCATGTGAAGAAGAGTAAGTGATGTTCCCATGATCAGTATAAGGAAACCTTGTATAAATTTGCCTGCTACTAGTTTTCCTGGTTAAGCTTATGTCTTGCACTTGTTTTCCTGGTTATTCTTATGTCTTGCGCTTGTTTTCCTGGTTATTCTTATGTCTTGCGCTTGTTTTCCTGGTTATTCTTGCATATAGCATAGAGTGATACGATACCCATTAAAGGTTCCAAGCACCATTTAAAGTCTTCTTTCGTACTCAGGATGAAACAAATATATGCTTTGCATAACATAATTTTCAAGGCCAAATGGGAAAAAGCGAAAACAATATAAAGTGACCTATATTATTTTGATAATTGCTCTATTTTCTTTTTTACTTACCTAATTTTGACCTAATTTTAGGGCTGAAATAGAGACACTTGAGGCTGAAAAGTCTGCATTGCAAAAGAGACTTGCAGAAGAGGTTCTGTGAAATCCACCCCTTCTAATTATTGGTATCTCAACTTGTTTGGAGACTTTTCATAACAAGTCATCTTTCTAATGTAGATTGAGCGTAATGCCATTCTCGAAGCCAGCTTGGAAAAACGAAAGAAGATATTGCATGGGCGTCGTCTAGCTCTTCAGAAAGATGTACGTTTGTCAGGAGTTTTTTTTCATTTCTTTTTTGTTCTGTTGTTTCTGTTTCATGCATTATATTAGGTTATGTATCTTTAGCAACAAAGACACATATTGTGATGCTGGAAAAAACAATGTATTAAAGGCAACAAATTCCCTTGATATTTTTAAAAGTTAGTTAGAGATCTGTTTATGCATCTTTTGTTCCCTCTTCAATATGAATTCTTTCACAAATGGCATAGCTAAAACAAGTTCAAATTTAGGTGCATAAAAAGTATATAGGTGCATCATTGTAAATGGTCTTTTTTGTTAGTGGAAAAACTCCTATTCATAAGACAAAATCCTTGTGCAAATTGGTTGTTCTTATTAAAGGTTTTCTTTGGCATGGTACGCAACATTTTCCATTTTTCTCTAGCAGAAAGAGTTGTGGGATGAATATCATCTGTGTATAGATGTCAAGGTTTTTTTTAACAAAGTGCATGAAAATGCATCTAGAGTGGACAATCGATATATTTTTTTACTGAAGCATACATTTGTAACATGAAAAAAACTTTTTATTTTGTTTTGTTAATATATGGAATTTGACATTTGTATTTGCATTTATATTGTCTTAGTTAGTTGCACAAAGCTAATGGTTTTTATCGTAAATAGTCTTATGAGAATGGCCCGGTCTTGATTGTTCCTCCTTATTGTACTTATAGGTAGCAAGATTAGAGGAAGAGTTGCAAAGGCAGAGAGATAAAAGAACAGCTCTCGAAGCAGGACTTAACCCATCTCAAGGACCCATATTTCTCCCAGCTACAATTGATGAAAAGGTAGCCAATGGCCTACCTTAGATTTAACTAGCGTACCTAATCTTTATTTTGCATCAAATTTTAACTTGCGAATATGATAAAGACAAAAGCAGTTCTCAAGGACATAGCTCAAGCAGAGGCAGACGTAATCAATTTGAAAAAGTCTGATGATCTGGGGATGCAGCTTAATCAGCAGCTTGAGCAACATTCTCTTTCCATGAATGATTCGTGCAATCAACATCAATCAAATTATCAAGCTAAAATGTAAGCTTTCAGTTGGTTCTCTCTTGCATTGTCATATTTTTTTGGATATTTGTTACAAAACCTTTCTTTACTTTGTCTCTTTTTAAGAGTTGAATACTTGTCATCCTCCTAGTGATTCGAATTGTTTAAAGTAAAACGCATCTGGAGTTGTTTGGCAACTGTTAACTCACCAATAATTCATGCTTCAAAACATATAATCCTCTTTAGATTTATATTTAACTCATATATTTTTCAATCTCCATTCTCATCTCTTTTATGCACTTGATTTAACTATATATGTTTGTTTTACTCTTAATACAGCAAGGATAAACCAAAGGGTAACGAAGCTGCTTTTGAAAGGTCAGGAAGCAAGGTAAACTCACATTGTTTGAGCCAGCATGAAGTACTTTAGTTTCCGAGAAGTTGAATGGAATCGGTTCTTTTATTTTACTCTGACAACTGGATTTCATTTTCTTTGAAATCTAAACCTCTCTACCCATTTCTTGAATTTGGAAGTGTTTGCATTTGTTAGCATGGAAATAGCATTAGTTAACAACTTCAGTTTTCGTGAAAGTCATTTGAATATAAATTCCAATGAATGGTCAAATGGCGATTAAACCAGTGCTCTGTCAGTGCATAAACCCAACTGGTTGGTGTATGGAGATTCCAGATCAGACAGGTTCTGAAGGATGTGATCAGTTTTCTTTTCCTGATGAACAACTTTATGGTTGAATTTCATATTAGCTTCAGCTTCTTAGTAATAAATTTCTTTATGAGTTGTGAAATGTAATGCAACAGATATTTTTATTTATGAAGACACTATGTTTCATGTACAGATGATCTGAAAAGCTGTAAATTGAGCATTAGCTCTGCAAGCTTGGCTGGGTTTGTTTTGGATCAAAGTCGAGCTTGATTTGAACCCATTCTGGCATTTTCTCCTTTCTTTCTGTCTCCCTCTTTTGTTTTTCTTTTGATTATTTTTCAACAGTGAGGTTAGCATATCGAGCATTTGCTCTAGGTACAGGCTGAGCTTGAACCTGTTAAAGAGCTTTTCCTTGCAAATTAGCAACTATAAGATCATCACCTGCTTTTGCTTCACTTTTTCTTTACCATTTCTATGAAGTGTTTCTTTAGGTTTTTTGTTTCTAACTTATTCGGGAGAATGTATTTCTATTTTGGTTGTTAAGCTCTTAAGTTTAGACTTAAGCTTGGCCTACATTCAAGATAATGATTAATCCTAATGTGGTCTCTTAGGCAGCTGCGGGTTATCTGTAAAGTTACAGCTTTTTGATTTAATGGAATTCATTGAACTGAGAATCTGATCTGCAGGACAAATATGTGGACAAAGTAGAGTACGAGAATGAGAAAAAGCAGGAATCATCTTCGGCAAATAAACATCCACCTAAAAACCAACAGTTGGATCATTCAGCTTATAACAGCAATCGTGTGTATGCAGCAGAGACAGTTGCACAGAAACCCCTGGCTTCAGGTAATTCCAAGAAGTCTGCTACGAAGGGTGAGGTATGTTCTGTTCTATTTTAACACGACACCAATTGTATCAAACTCTAATGCAGTTTTCTTGAATTTGAACCCACCACCATCAAAAGTTTCTGATTCAAGAGAAAATTACTATGTTATCTCCATCTTAGAGAACATGTTTGTTTCATCATTCCATGATAGCTTGCCCTCATACTTTTCAGTGCATATTTGGTAATAATTGGTGTCGTTTTTACTGTTTTAGAAAGCTAATACTGTTGTTCAGGGAGCCAATTCCACAACTTCAGCACTGACAAAACTGACAACCCGGCTCAACTTTCTGAAGGAGCGTCGAAGCCAGATTACAAATGAACTCCTAGGTATGGAGAAAGGCCGAGGTTCTAGTCAAGCTGTTCCAAGCTCAGATAAAGGCAAAGGACAAGAACCTATTCAATCTATTCAAAATCCGGACAAAGGTAGAGGACCAGACGTTAGCCCATAACTCTAGAATCCAGACAAATGGGTTGGATAAGAAGGCCAAACAGTTCCACTCGCAAAAAAAAAATTAGGAAATCAGATAACTGAACCTGGATGGAGGTAAAATCCTGAAGGCCAATAAAAACAGGAGACGATCTGATTGCCATGGTGTCCTACTGTTCCAATAAAGCTCAACAATTAGGTCAGTCACTTTCTAGTCCAAGGATTTACGCCAGATGATAAGTGGGTCATGTATGATCTCTCAGTCATTGTTTCTGCATGCAACATTTGTTTATATCCCTTCGAATTCACCTTAGGCTGACGATGATGCTTTGAATACGATTAAAGTTTACCAGAGAGAGATGCTAGGGGACTGATTTTGATGCCCATACTTAAAGGAGAGGCTGATATCCCTTAATCCAAGATGTACATATCAACTAGTATGTCCAAGCTGAATAATTTAAAATCTTGGTGACTGATTTTTATTGTCAGAAACCAAGTAGGGTTGTATAACAACTACGTGCTTTTTTATGGGCAAAATGCAAATACAACTTTTAATTTAAAAAGATTTCTCGTTTGATATTGATACAGCCTGATGAAGGTGAGTCTAGGATCTAGCCTCGAGCCAGAGGAGAACTTTTTATCTCAACCCATTACTTTATAAAAACCCGTTTTTTGTTTCGATGTTTGCTTCTGTCATGTGACCCAGCATAATTTTGGTTTTTTTCTTCAAAAAGTTTTTCCAGTGATTCCGGGTATAATTAAGTCCAATCGTATTATATTACGTCAGACTCAAGCTCAATTTGATTTGAAAATTCGAAGTTGAAAATTCAATTTGAGTTTAATCAAATTTTATTTTTCATGTTTGATTTTTATATGTAATTTATACATTAAGTTGATGACCACTTTGAAGTTTTATAATTGGTTTTGTTGTTACCTAAAAGTGAAGAAAACAGCTAATATAAGCAAAATGAACAAAAAAAAAAAAACAAAAGTATATCATAAATAGGTAAAAATAAAAGGTTTGATAAAATTATAAATATGGACATTACATATTATATTTTATTATTTATTTATATAAATTAAAAAAATTAAAAAAATAAAAATTTATTAGTCTTTTAATTTTTTTAAAATTAATATTTAATTATTTAAATTTGATTCAATTCGATTATTTGAAAATTTTGAATTTAAATTTGATTTAACAATAAATTAGTGAAATTCTTTTTTTTAGTTAAAATCTAAATAATTTATGATCTCAAATTATTTTGAGCCGACATATGAATAATTCTCTGTTAACTTTACTTGTTTACCTTTAGTGAATGAATGTTTTGAAGAAAGTGTTCTGGAGAAATCTTTCTATGTCTTGCGCCTGGAGAAATCAAAATTTCATAAATTAATTTCTCAATTTACATCATTGTCTCTTAGTCTTAGATAATCATATCCATGGTCCTAGTCTTAGGGCCCCGGCCACACATCGTGCTTCATTGCGTGCCTACCACATTACCAAGAGAATGGTGAATATGCGTAGGCAACTGCCTCAAACTGAGAACCCATTATCAAGTGTCTTTGCCGTAGGCCAAAGCTGAGAACTCAAGGCCAGAAAATTTTTTATGGATATAAATATTAGGACAACACTCGATTCCCATAAAGTTGGAGCTTTAACCTTAACCACCAAACTTTACCTTCGATAATGTTTTAAAACAATAAATTATATTAATCTTCATTTTCAATCGGAAAATTTAGTAAAACACAATTTTTATCAAATAAACCTAACATTTCCATTGTAGTCACCAGCAATCTTTAATCAATTGATCGAAATTCCTTAAGCAGCTTCCTCACTTGCTCCAATGTCACAAACAAAACCACCGTAAACGGCCCTTGCCTAGAAACCGTGGGCAAAAATCCTTTATAAAGCGCCCTAAACCCTTCCCTTCTCACCGTCTTCATTAAACAATCAACCGCCCCATTGTAAAGTGGAAGCCTACCAGCCTCCACCTTCATGTTCATCACCCTCGTCTTTATGACGTCCACCGGGTTCGACGCAATTGCTGCCACAACCCCCGCCGCGAAGCTCGCCGCCAAGTGTGTCCATATCCCGTCTTCCATGACTCCCTTCTGTATTATGGCTTCCTTGATCTGATCGTAAGTTGCCAACTGTGACGTTGTCACAATCATCGCGCGGTTCACCGTGAGGGATGAGCCTCGCCACAGGCTAGCCACGCCTTCTTGCTTCGAAATCTGCGTAATGGCATCGAAAACGCTCTTGTAATTGCGGCGTTGCGCTTGTGGAAGTCTTCCATCGGCTTGTATGCGAACCATTGCCACGTCAGCTGGATTACCGACCGCCGCTCCGATTCCTCCGGCGATAAGCCCGGCAGCGATCTTCTTTGTCAAGGGCATGGTTTTGGTCTCAGGGTCGGTCCAACGTTGCTTGAACAGATCGTAAAGGCCCATGGAGGTGGTGGAGTAGAGGGATTGGCGGAGGACAGTGGCTGAGACGCCATAGAAGAGAGCGGGAAGGCCTTCGGAGTTAACAATGCGGAGGGCGAGAGAGATGGGGCCCACACGCGAAGGAGGAGAAAGATGAAGGGAATTAGCCGTAGTTGGGCGAAGATGGTGAGAGAAGGTCGTTGTTTCGCCTTGAAGTTGCATGCGGACTTTGATGAGGTCGAGCGGGTGAGTTGAACAGCCGGCTACGACGGAAGCTATACCGCCTTCAACAAAGCCATTAAAACCCATGTTGGCTTTAAACTAGGAACCTGAACGTAGTAAGAATTATTCTGAAAATCTTGCTTCTTCAGTTCCTGTCTCGTTTTATTTTAAGACAGCAGAGATGGTAAGAAGAGAGACATTGGACCAGGTGGTGGAAAAAGGAAAGACAAACAAAGTACAAGAAGAGACAGAGTCGGGTAGGGCTTTTTGGGCGTTACGCTTATGCTTAACCTAATTAAAAATCAAATTCGCCTAACCTGTTTTAGCAAGGATTTGGATTTCAGCACATTTTTAATATATTGTAGATAAATTCATCGTATCTTAAATTTAAATATTAATTTTAATAAAATTTTTTAATATAAATTTTTTTAATCATAATTATAATAATAAATATTATTATTTTTAATCTCATTAAAATTAATTTTATCGTTAATTCAAGTGGATCATTGCTAAATTTATTTGTTCACCCGAGCTTGCTTTATCAAATTGGTCATTCTTCTTGTTGTCACCGTGAATGGTGATGGTAACATTGTAGGGAGCTAGGCGGAGTAGATTTGCTTGAATCCATGAATATGAAAAATGATAGCTGAGTTGCAGCCTTAGCTTTGTGGAAAATGTGCAGATGACAAACTATTCTTTTGGCCCAAAACTTAATGTTTTATATCCATCCAAAAAGAAAAAGAAATCAACTGAAGTTCTATCAGTAGATTAAGCCTATCGCATGGAAAGAACAATAACTTATATCAACTTTCTTTGAAGTAATTGGTCAATATCCAATATCCAATTTATATTACATTAATAAAGATTGCAGCCAAAAGGATAAAACAATCAAAATTGAAGCAAAACTATTAAAATATGTATAGGAGCACAGGAAAGCCGATTAGCCACTTAGCCTTGACACGTAACACAATATGCAATACTTAGCTACCAACTAAGATGTTATTACTTGATTCTCAAACCTAAGAAGTCGCTTTGGCCGAGTGGTTAAGGCGTGTGCCTGCTAAGTACATGGGGTTTCCCCGCGAGAGTTCGAATCTCTCAGGCGACGTTGCTTTCTCGTTTTTCATTTTTTGATCTTCAACATTTCATATCAGAGCGACCATTAATATTCATTTCATCAGCTTAACTGTTTCTAGCTTTAAATCAAGAAGTTTCCAACTCTAACTTTAACTTTTGGAAAGAAAACGACCTGGTATCGTTGTTGCATTATTATTATTAGCAATGCAAGAAGAAAACCAAAGTCTTTACCGCACAATCACTTACACCCCAAACTTACGTGGGTAGTAACAAAATTAACGCTTGCCGCTTTCAAAGGAGAATCCTACTTCCATCTCTTAATCTCTCTAGTACATGCAAATTAAGTGAAGAAAATAATAATAATAATAATAAAACAGATGGATATGATGAGAGCAATGGCTAAACTTGTTTCTCGTGACACCATCCATTTTTGCCAATTTCCATAACGACTATGAAATCCTCCTTTATTTTTTTCAAACATCTCTCCTATATATTCCTCTTTCCTACCTCCCATTGATCAACCCCATTATCAGGAAAAGCTTCCCTTCCACAAATCAAAGCAAGGAAGGAAGGAAAAGAAGAGAAGAAGAAGAAAAGAAAACATCACTTTCTCTGTCTCTTTCTCCCCCCCTCCCCCCCCTTTGCCACCATGTTTCGTTGATGAAGGGCATGGTGAAGTTAGTGTTAAAAATGTGCCGTTAAAATCATTGAGTTGGTGTATGCAATCCATTGTGGAACTGGGAAAAGGTCAAGAAATGGAGGTTCAGCGGTTTAGGCAGTTGCTATTACTTTGGTCAAGATTGCAAAGTACCCGTGTGGGTCTCGTGGGTGGAAATCACACCGCTGCTCGATTTTGCACTCGCTAAATTTGCCTCTCTCAAATGCTTCTTCCCTCTCCCTCTCGCCTACTACAATCTTGTTTTTGCTCTTTTTTTATCTGCTATTTCTATTCACACTTCCTTTAAAACCCTTTTGAATCCGTTTTTGAATTGTAGTGATTAAATTTTGAGCCCATTTTTGTCATGAATTCCCTCAAAATGACTGCCCAAATTATTATTGATGGACTTCAAGCCAAATGCCATAACAAGCACAAGCCTGTGCGTTATGGTGGCATTAACTTGCCTGCTTGTACAGACTTGATCGTCAAGGTCCTTGATTCTAGGATTTTTAAGCTTCTTGCTCGGTTCATGGTGATTTTGGCCTTGATCATTGTTTTACTTCCTTGGTCGGGAATAGGATCCATTATCAACAAAGAATATGCACGCCATGCTGATAAAATTAAGCCTAAAGTTGTCTCTACTGATCCCATTAATCTGGAGCTCTTGCCATTGCTCTTTCACGATTTGAACAAGGAAGGCATTCTGAACCTGGGTGACAAAGGACTGATGTTATGCAATGATGATGACGAGGCCATTCATAGTTCTCTGTTCTTGAGGAAAAGTGATATGGAATTCAGTTCTGTCACGGATTTGGAACGACAAAGTTCAGTCCCTAACGAGTCCTTTGACTTCACCTTCACGCAAAACTTCGGAGCAGCCTCAGAATTCATAGATCGCTCTGTTAAAGTTGGTGGCATTGTTGCTGTTCAGCTGAGTGGAAGGTCATCCAATTCATTCGACAAGCCATCCAATTACAGAATCGTCTACTTCAGGAAATTCCAGTCAAAAGTTTTGGTAATGAAGAAAATTAAACATGCTAAAACAATCTCTAACACCCAAAGGAGGCTTTTGGGGTACACATCAGAAGCAAAGAAAGCAGCACTGAAGAACCTGGAGATTGTGCTTCTTGAACCACCAAGAGCATCTTCAGGGAGATCAAAAACTTACCTGAAACGAACCAAGTTCCTACCAGACCTATTGGGAGACACACTTGAAAGCTATCCTCGTCGGGTGTTCATTGACGTAGGCTTGCCGGAGAAAGAACGTGGCAGTGGCACCAATTGGTTTACCGAGAATTACCCCACAAGGAATCTGAAATTTGAGATGTACAAGATTGAGACTCTGACCAAGGAGGCTTCAAGGAAAGAGGTGCCAACTGCAACGGAGATTGGGATGTCGAATTGGCTGAGGAAGAATGTGAATGTGGCTGATTATGTGGTGATGAAGGCAGAGGCTGAAGTGGTTGAAGATCTGGTAAAGAGCAAGGCTATCAGGTTGGTTGATGAACTATTCTTGGAATGCAAGCCTCAAGGACATGGTGGAAGAAAGAACACGAGCAAAAGGGCTTATTGGGAATGCTTGGCTTTGTATGGGAAGCTAAGGGATGAAGGTGTTGCGGTGCATCAATGGTGGGGATGACGGAGTAAGATTTTACTAACATAATTAAGCAAAGATAAACGTGTCAAAGGTGCGAGAGAGAGAGAGATACCATAAACGTCATAAAAACAAAGAGAAGTAGCTTTTTTCTTTGTATTTCAAGTTTGTTACTTTGTTTGATGTAATTGCCCTTGAAATTTCTTGATGAAGTTATTTTCTTTTGCAATGAGAGAATTTCAAACGTTGCTTCTTTCATCTCTTGAATATTGTTTCGTGTACATATTTGATCGGTAAATGAGGGAATCAATTTTTTTTTTTTTGTTCATTTGTGAAACTGACATTCTAATGGAGACAGGCGTGAATTGGGTGGGCTGCTTAAAAAGAAAATTGGAATATGATCAACATTTTTTTCTTTGTTTCCTTTCCTTACCAACCCTCCAACCTTAGCCATGAAGTTAAATGTCAAGCACCTAACTTTTTAGGACAAGATAAAAAGTTTAGAATTTACCAACCCTCCAACCTTAGCCATGAAGTTGAGTGTCAAGCACCTAACTTTTTAGGACAAGATAGAAGTTTAGAATTTAAGGTTTAAAATTTTGTCCTATGATATTTAAATTATTACAATATTTTACGTGATGTATGACGTTAAAATTATTAAATTTTGTAGCTTTTTTTTAAAATCATACTTTAAGAATAAAAAAAAGGTTTAGGTATATATAAAAATTATTAAAAATATAAATTATAATTCAAATTTGATAAATATTTATTCAATGATAAATATTTTATCAAAATTTTTATTAAAAATTTCTATCTAAAAAAATCAAATTTTATTAATTTTTTTTTTAAATTTATACATTTGATCTATGTAATATAATTTTTTAATCTATCAATTTTGATTTTAATTTTTAATCAAATGAACTTCATTAAAAAAATTTTACCTAAATCTTTTCCTACTCATAATTGGATCCAAAATTAAAACGATGTTACAATGCTCAAGAATTTAAAGATTTCTCTAATAAAAATCTTTTAAAAAGGAAGCATCCTACGAAATTTCGGAATTGTCAATTACTTAAGTAAATTTATTCTCAATTTAGTCCATCGGTCTTACCTATTTAGACATATATTAAATAAATAAGTAATTTCAAAAATAGACGCTATTAGTAAATATTCCCAAAAGCAAATCAAAATAACTTTCAACGAGATTTCCTATGACAGCTTTACAAGAAAAGTATGGAAGTAGGAATGAAAATTATGGGTGAGGGATTAGAATGTAGGGTCACCTTTGCAATTTGCAAAGGAAAATAATGGATGTGATCTGGACCATCTGGTTGTTCCAACAGCCAAATTCCATTTCATTTGCCGTGTTGAATTGCATTCATAGGCTTTTTTTTTTTTTTAAATGAATTTAATGGTGATTTGAAGATCACACAAAAAATAATTTATAATAAAAAAATATGTTTAAAAATTTACTGAAATTGATTTTTTTGAGATGCTCTTTTACGTTCAAATTAATTGGGTGTTTGGAATTTAAAAAAAAAAATGATAAATTACAAAAAATGTGTAAAAAATTTAGAGAAAAAGTACTTAAAATTATCATAATCCTATATATGAAATAATAATCGATAATATATCAAGATTATCAATAATTAATGAAAAATTCACATAAAACTAAAAAAACAATTTAAGTAAACATGAATTATATTTAATAATTTAAAATAAATTAGAGCTAAATTAATCTATTATAAAATAAAACCTCTAGTGAAAGGGGGACGAGCCTACCAATTGATGGAGTAGAGCCTGAATTATACTTAGGAGTCTAGACGTCTTCAATAATGACATAGCAATCCGAAGCATACTAATTTGACAAGTGTAAAAGTTGATATTGATCGACCAGGTAGATATAACAACTTGCAAAGAAGTAGTACAATTTACGTGTAGAAAAAAGCTTGAAGCAAGTATTCCCTCAATAACAAACCTCAATTGCCGTTTAAAACGAGGTGCACAAAAAATTAGACGCCTACAACATTCAATACTGATATTGAAATGTATTTAGTCAAAAAGGTATTTAGAAAAAAAATTGTGTCAGCAATCTGATTTTGACTAATAACCTCGCCGACTATTAATTTAACTACTAAATATTTTATTTTTATATTTTATATTTCTTATTTTTTTACGACATCACATTTATAAAAAAATTAAAATTTCAGTATTATAGATTTTTTAAAAAAAATCGGTAAAAATTGACAAGGAACTAACAGTTTGAGGCAAAAAAATAATAATTATAAAAAAAGCTTAAATAAATAAATCAAAACCTATAAGGTTAGTCTTAGTCGGCAATAAATAATTATTTAGTTTTTTAACAATACTTGGAAATTAAAATAATAAATACACCAAATAAATATTAAAAAAATATTTTAAAATCATTTAAAAATTTTTTTTGATCTGGGTTATAAAATAAATTAAAGTTGGTCTCATAACATAATCATAATTATAGTTAAATTATGAAAACGGTAATCCAATTTATTAAAAGTCATAGCCTCTTATCATAAAAAACTAAAAAAAAAAAAAAAAAAAAGGAGTTTGTCATCTTTCTCCTAATTAAATTCCTGAGAAAGCAATTGCTTGTAGAATCGTTTATTTCCACCTGTGGAAAACTCAAATACTAAAAACAAAAAAAAAATTGTTAATTTGCGAAATGGTGAGTGAGCCATCAAATCAGCTCTGCACCCACCCACCGAATCAAAACAAATCTCCACCGTCCGATCCCTGGCATCACAGCAACCGTCCAACGCAGTGTCCATCACGAAAACAACCCTCAATACCCGAAAACAAAATCGACAGTAATAAAATAGGAATGTTAACTCCAACGGGAACTTAAAACGGCCCGTGGCCCCCACCTGAAACCGAATATTAAAAGAGTGTTTGATTTATAATTTTTTAATATAATATTATATAATTATAAGCGATGATAAAAAATTTATAAATTTTAATATTTATAATATTTTTTATTTGAAATTTAATCATGTAATAAGTTTTTTATTTTTTTATTTTTTCATCATTTCGATCAAATAAAATATAAAAAATTTATCATTTGTAAATATAAATTTGTATAAAATTTTAATAAATTACATGTAATTTTAAATTATAATAATTAATTACAATATAAATAATTCGCTGTCGAATATTTGATGATCAAAGAATTCACGCTTCTCGGTGCCAGAAAACAAAGTTCCTTTCCTCAACCATCAAATGTCCCTTTCTAATAACGTATCGAAAATTTTATAAATAAAAAAATAATATTCAATATTTAAATGCTAATTTAATGGCCCTTTGTAATAGTATATTCCTTTTATGTCTCTCTGTTTTTTTTTTTTTTTATTCCTAAGATCTCGATCTTGAAAAGCAGAAAAATTTTCGTTGTCCGAAATCCGCGAGCTGAAGCAATATCAACTTTCTTCTCTCACTGTCAGTTCCTTTTAGATTTGTTTAATTTTCGTTAATAAAGTTCTCAATTATTTCATTTTCGAGATAACGGGCAGTTCAACGACTTTGTTTTAGTCCAAATCAACGACTACGATTGCATGATCAACGGCCGGAGTTTGTTCCCCTCGCCAGAGCGACCGTCAAGACGACGTCGTTGGAATCTATGTGTAGTGGTGAGATTAGGGGCTAGGGTTTGCCGATTCCGTTGGATGCCTATTGGGTGCAAGATAAATGCTTCTTGCCGGGGATCTAGGGTTCTCGAGCCTGGTCCTTGTGGTCTCCTTTGTTCTTCCTCTGATCGGCTTTTTCATTAGGCGGAAATGGCGGCTCTCTGTAGCCAGGCAAGCGGAGATCAAGAGGCTTTTGATTTTGGCCTCGGAGGAGGACGCTAGGGCTGAGCTTGAGGCCTCGCTTGGATACGGTGCTGTTTCCATTTCACGGAACTATTACCAATGCGCTGTTTGCTATTGTCCTACTACTACGCGGTGTGCCCGCTGTAAAGCCGTTCGATATTGGTACGTAAATTTGTTAATTTCTGGTTAATGTTTTAATTTTTTGAGAATTATTGAGGATTTGTTTAGGGCATTTAGTTTGAACAGTATTTGAGATGAATCTGATTCTTTATTTGACAATAATATCTTGAATATTGAAGAATATTTGGTTGGAGAAGTGCTTCCATTAGCTCAGGGCAATGTGTGGTCTAATTTAATTATTCCATAATCTGTATGAACGTGAATAGACATTTAATTTATCGGTACAAGGTGTGTGTTTATGAAATGAGAAATGAAGCAATTTAACAGACTTTGTTGGTGATAATTACATTATAGATTCAACACCCACAATATATCATGTATGGGGAGTTTGGAATTTGTCTTAAAAAACTTCAATAATTTGATGGATGGTTGTGCTGAATTTAAGCAAATGTATCAGTTTGTATATGCCGTGTATAAGCCTCCTATCTATATGTTACAAATATGGGATGTTAGAAAGCTTTAAACTGTTCCTCTTGAAGATGATCTTTTCTGTGTCCTATCTTGTTTGCAGTTTAGGAGTTTTTTATTTTGGCTATTCAGCTTAGGAGTTGATGTGGTGTATGTTAGCTAAATACATTTCAAATATTTAAAATGTGGTTCATTTGATCAGAAAAAAGAAAAAAAAAAAGAATACCACTCTAATGAATGGAGACAATAGTTTAGCTTTTCCCTACCATGTTATTGTAATTCTTAGGACCTGATTTTATGGGACATAGATAGTAAATTATGGCTGTATTGAGCATTATTTTCTGCTGACAGTTGTTTTTATGGAATTGTCTTTTAAAGGTATTTTATTGATGTAAAATTTTGGATGTTTTAGTTCTGCTAAGTGTCAAATTATTCACTGGCGGCAAGGTCACAAGGAAGAATGCCATCCTTCTGCCACTGCCACAGACCTGAATCTTGATGAGGGAAGTGATTCTGGTCAGAAGGTGATAGAGCAAGCCCAATATGGAGACAGATATGAGATCAAAGAAAAGAAACATATGAAGCCAACTGGAACCTCCTCCACAGAACCTGCATCCTCTAGTTCCACTAGCTCTTCTGTGGTTTTAAATGCGAAGGATGATGATATAAAGGTTGAGTTCCATGCTGATGGGGAAGGAACGAACTATGCCTCAGAGTCTTCCAGTGCTTCATTTTCTGGATTTTCTTCTTCTGCAGCTGGTAGTGAATCATCTGATGAAGTTTCTGTGTGTGAGAGCATTAGTTCAAATGAGCCTGATAAATTGGATAGATCCGCATCTGCTGATGGTAAACTTGACACGTTGTCGACTGCTTCTGGTGTCAACAATGTGGATCAAACCAATCCATCATCCCCCAAATTTGCTAGGTTGGTTGATTCTGTTGATAAAGTTTCTAAATTAAATAAATTAAATCAGATGAAGCCTGATCAAAGTGGAAAGAGCCAGTGCAGAGCAACTAATTCTTCAGGTTTTGGCATTAGTGGTACATGTGAGGGCTCAATTGCCGAGGGTGGTATGTTATCTTCTGGTTTCTGGGGCAGAACTCTGGAATCAGTTGCATCTACAATTGATGCTGACAATGAGTCTTTTCAGTCTAGTCTGAAAGAAGGCGGTAAAAGTGCCTTACTTGACTCTGGATCTCCCTTACATTTTTCATTTAACTTGTCCAGAAGTGCTTCTTCCGCTCATCCACTAGGCTCCAAAGTGAAAACTGACAAATTAGATGATGCTTCTCAGGATGCTTTGGGGCATACAAAGCTTTCTGATGGGGTAGCTTTGTCAGAAAATGTTGTTTTAGATGCTTCAAAGGTCAACAACTCTCCATCCTCAAGTTCTGAATGGCCTAACCATGTGGAGCATGGGTCTAGAAATATTTCACATGTCCCAAAACCCAAAGAAGCTATTAATACAGATGTTCCATCAGTCAGTAGCTTGTCATCTTCATGTTCTGAAAAGTCTGGCTCTAGCGTTGTCATTAATGGACCTAGCAATGCTTCTCATCCATTAAAAACTTCTGATGCTTATTCATCCCGTGCCAGAGTGCATGCTGTTCCTAGTGTGAAATCTGGAAAAATTGATGGTTTTCATGCAAATGCTGCTACATTACCTCAGGTTTCAAGTTGTTCTTCTAATGGTAGGCATGGATTAAAAACCTCTATGTGGAAAGTTGTTGATCAATTCAGAGGATCTAAATTGCCCAAACACTATCCATTTGGGGTTGGTAATGAGGTTGCTGGAAAATATAATGATAAGGTCTGGTTGAAGTTACTTTTCTTTTTAACTGTACTAGTTTAGCCTCTAGTGTATTAGCTTTTAATTAAATTTTCTGTCTTTGCAGGGACTTTTTCCTTATGAATTGTTTGTCAAGCTTTATAGTTGGAACAAGGTGGAACTGCAACCATTTGGCCTTGTGAACTGTGGGAACAGGTAATATAAGATTGGTTTTTTATTATGGTGAACGGTTATGGAAAAACTAGTACAGCATAATGAGTTTTTCTGCTTGTCTTATATTATTTTGTTCATTTACATTTTTTTTTTTGCATCTTCAATAACACAGATCATATATAGAAGCTCTTTAATTGATTCAAACTGAAAATAGATTTTATTTTGTTCCTTTTTACTGATTGTTGTCAGTCGACATGATTTATTGTGAATCTTTTGCACTGAAAAATGGTGACCACAAATCAAAATCCCTTGGCCCTTTGTTTGTCATGGTATCATTTCTTAAGCTTTGTTTGTTTTATTGCTTGGTGAAGAATCTTCATTGTTGAATTAAACTCAATTGACAATTTGACAATCACTGGCCCTAGCTGTTATCCCTTGTGTTGCACAAGCCCTTTCTTTGAACAGTTGAATATTGAACATTATGCTTGGTTCTGATACTTAGATGTGAGTATATTATAGAGAAAGAGCCAGAGATAGTGCTAGTTACAGTCATTTGAATTGCCCATGTTCCTTGGGTTTAAACCATTTGTGCGGATGATATCTGCTGGTTTAGAACATTTCTCAGAGGTTTAAGTTTTAAGTTTTCACCTTTTAAGTTCTGTGGGACTTTGGATAGGTTTTTATTTGACTATTTTATTCCCTGTAAGGTTTCTCTCTTTCTGTTGCTAATCTGAAATTTACTTTGCATAGCTGTTATGCCAATGCTGTCCTCCAATGCTTGACATTCACTCCCCCTCTGACTGCTTACTTTCTTCAGGGGCTCCATTCTAAAACATGTATGTCCCTGTAACATTTCCAAACTGGAATTATTTACGTTTTGTGTTCTGAGGTAGCATGTTGGATGACTCTTACTATAAATTACTTTATCAGGTGCCAAGAAAGAATGGTGTTTCACCTGTGAGTTCGAAAATCTAATTTTGAAGGCTAAGGATGGAAAATCTCCGCATTCCCCTATAAGAATACTGTCCCAACTTCAAAATATTGGTGGTCAACTTGTTAATGGGAAAGAGGAAGATGCACATGAATTTTTAAGGTGAGCTACGTTTGCAAATGTTTAATGCTTGAACCTTTTAATAATGTTTTCTTCATGAGAAACGAGTAATTCTTTTAATAGTGTTGCAGTAATTTATTGATGAATTATATTTGACAGGTATGCTATCGATGCGATGCAATCTGTTTGTCTTACAGAAGCCAGGATGGATTCATCAGGTTGTTCAAAAGAGGAAATGACTTTAATAGACCTAACTTTTGGAGGCTACCTTTGGTCAAAGGTAATAGTTTAAGACCAATCTATTTTCTGGCTGCATCTTTCTTCTCTCTCTCTGTTTATGCACCAGATGTCTTAACTGCATGAAGAGTTCTATGTTAAAATGCCAATGATGCATGTAAACTTGTTACTATTGTCTGCAGATAAAGTGCATGAAGTGTCAAGGCAAGTCTGAACGTCATGAAAGAATGATGGATCTTACGGTTGAGATTGAAGGAGACATAGGAACCCTGGAAGAGGCACTACGGCGGTTTACAGGGACTGAGATTTTGGATGGAGAAAATAAGTACCAATGTAGCAGGTTGGTTTGGTTATATTTTTTTTTTCAAAAAAATCTTTAGATATTGTATCGATATTTTTATCATGCAAAGAGAGTTGACTGTGAACTTTTATAGAGATAGCTCTATTTTCAAAATGTGGTAGTTTTTTTATTTGTTGACCTGTCTTTCAGTTTGGATAGTTTTGGACAATTTAACTTTTGGAGAAATTCTCTCCTTCAATCTTAAACTGATGGGAGGATAGACACTCAAATCAAATCCATTATTTTCTTGTTCTTTGACTTGGGCTTTTAACTTGTTGGAAGTCTGGTTTTTGTTTCTATAAATTGCTTACTTCTTCAAAGAAGCTCGTCCTTATTTTGATGCTTCTGGAAAAACAAAATTTCCCCAACTTTTGGAGGCTATGACAGTTTAGTATGTCTTATTACATTATTTTGTCTGCTGTGTCATGTGATCACGCAAAGGTGGCTATTATATTCAGTCATAGTTTCTCCTTTTCTCTTAGCAAAATTTTCATTGATAGTTGAAACTTGAAATCTTTGTTTTATACAGTTGTGTGTACTGCAAAATAAACAAATTTAACAGAACATTTTCAATGAAATTATAATTGCTTGTCATAAAAGCTGTGTTTCATCACAGATTAATAAGTACTTAAGTAGTAAGTGGCATAAAACTACTCTGATGATTGATTTTATTTTACCAAAAACATATCTTTTTATTCTTGTTGAGTTTTGTGCTTGTTGACATTGATGGTGTTACTGTGTGTAGTGATATAGTCTGTATGGTTGCAATTCCTCAACTAAATTCTCTATTTGCTGGAAGGCGTCAGTTGTTAAGAGGTTTGCTCACTTTGTCAGTCCTTGTTTTGTTCAGATGCAAATCATACGAGAAGGCAAAAAAGAAGTTGACAATATTAGAGGCTCCAAATGTCCTTACAATTGCTTTGAAGCGATTTCAGGTACACCTTTCAATAAAGAATGCTGTTTTCCTCTTTGTTCTTTGTAGATTCTTACAGCTTAAGTGTGTACCATTTTGCAGTCTGGTAAATTCGGAAAGGTTAACAAAGCAATTCGATTCCCTGAGATCTTGAACTTGGCACCATATATGAGTGGGACAAGTGATAAATCACCCATATACAGGCTCTATGGGGTGGTGGTCCACTTGGATATTATGAATGCTGCATTTTCGGGTCACTACGTGTGCTATGTTAAAAATGTTCAAAACAAGTGGTTCAAAATTGATGACAGCATGGTATGTTTTGTACAATTATCATCTGTGTAGTTAACCATTTATTTGTTTACTGCATGTAACTTTCCTCAATCTATATTTTCATCTACATTATATTTTGATTACATACCCAACCAAACCATTAACTTTTGTATAATGTTGTTCTGGTTTTGCTCCCCTTACTTGAATGTTAAAATTTTTTTTTTTCCATATTTAATGTTTAGCTGATGGTGCCTTGTTAGTAATAATCAACGATTCTTTTAAATGCTTTGCATTGGATCACTTAAAATTCCTGTTTAATAGGAGACATAAGAAGACACTCCCTCTTATTTGGAAATTTGCCAAGGAGGCTTTGTGTTTTCCTTTTGATTCTAGATTGAATTGGACTTTTGTTAATTGTGGTAATTCATTTATGTCTTCAGTTTTAAATGTAGTGGAAAATTTAAAAAATATTCCACTTAGCATTTTTTTCTGATATTAAATTTGGAGGCATATTAGATAGCATCTCAGACCTATGAATTTTTTGTGAGATTTAGCAATGGCCAGGTTTAAAATTGACTTTGGAATTATCAACCCATTTTCCACATTACTATAACATTTTAATTATGTTAAAATGTTCAGCATTAATACTCAAACAATACTCTATTCGTTGAATTGACCATCTTCAGCATGAGTGCCTGGCGCAATACCACTTGTATATCTTTGGAATTATTAACTCATTTCCCCTCCTCTTGTTTTGTCTTCATGTTACACATTACTGTTAACATTTTAATTATGTTAAATAATTTCTTAAGTTTTTTGGGTTGGTGATAATTTGGCAGGTCACTTCCACGGAACTTGAAAGAGTTCTAACAAAAGGGGCATACATGCTTCTTTATGCAAGGTAAAGAAACTCAGTTGCCCTTTTTGGTATTAAAATCTGTATGCTGTCATTGCTGTGGTGATTTGACAAACTAATTAACCTGCAGGTGCTCACCCAGGGTCCCAAGATTGATAAGGAGTAGAAATAAGGCCATTCCATTGAGGGTCAATTCAAAGAATCATCCGAAGTCAAGTTCTTCGGCACATTCTAGTATGGATGAATTCTACCCCAGTTCAATTCATCCAGATATTCCAGGGAGCATTGAATCTTTTTATTTAAAATACAATCAGCTGCAAAGGATTTTAGAGGACTCGTCAAGTGATAGTTCTCATTTTAGCGGCTACTCTGATGAAGGTTCCAGCTGTACGGATAGCACACAAGATTCTACCTGCGCTGATGAGTTATTGGATTCTGTATTTGGTGATTCAATACGTGGTTGGAGCAGCCCCTGGAGGAGTTCTGATTCCAATGCTTCTTCATCTACCTCGTCTTCTCCCCTTTACTCGAGGCATTCACCCGTTGTTGATTTAGACCGATCTGGTTCAGAATCGCCTGAAATCTGCACCTCTCAAATGGATTATACCGATTCAGCTACAGAGAACGTTGTTCTTTTGGACAGACAACCCAGTGGGAGAAGCAGGCAGATGAATGGGGAAGGTAAGGGAAATGATCTTTTTTTCCACTCTGACTGGAGTAAACAGTCTAGAAAGATCGGTAGTAGTAGTAGCAGCAGCAGCAGCAGCTGTAAGGAAACTGACTCAGAGAGATTAGGAGGGGTTAACCCTTTAAATGATCCATCTTTTAGAAATTCAACGAGGGAAAGAACGGATTAAAAATTTTATTAAGAGGCATTGGAGTTAAGAGTAAGTAAATAAGATTAAGGAGGGGTTGTATGTAATAGTACTCTTTGTAGCTAGCTGGCTTTGTTTAAAGAAAGCAGCCATCACCATTTTGTCCATTATCTTATCGATTCTCTTGATAATAAAAGTATTATACAGAAAGACATTGCCTGAACTAGCCTTTCGCCTTTACTTCAGACCAAACAAAAAACGACTTTCATTACAAGAAATGAAAACTTCTCTTGTAGTTACCAAGGCCTTATTTGGTCCCAAATCACAGCTAAAACAGAAAAGCACTGTGTTGAGTATGTCGAAAATGGATTGAAAATTGAAATAGGAAGAAGCAAGTGGCCAAATTACAAAAGCAAAAGAAGACATCAACAACCCACGTAGGACAGCACTAGACTGGTCCATCCAGGTCCACTAAGGCGGCAAATATCTCCCTAAACAGGCACTGCTTTTCCATCAAACAAACTCCATGACTAAGTCTTCCAATTCTAGTCCATGTCTGGGTCAGGAGCAAGACTTTCGGAGAGGGAGCCCAACATTGTAATATTCATTTCAACACATCTGTCGACTTCATAAATGAAGGCCTATCCGACCGTACGCGTGTAATTTTCCTCCAAAGATGCCTGCCCTGACCGCATCCACCAACAACCGTCTACTGGAACTACTCAGATGTACATCTTGTTTCACTTTACTTGTACTACTTTATTTGTTACTGACCATCCATTACAAGAAAAAAAAAATTAATTGAAGTTAAAATGAGACAGAAAGGACAAGTTGAGTAATGGGGTGTCGCGTTTCACTCAAAGCTAAGAGATCGATGTATGCAAAAAAAAAAAACAATTGTTTGGTCAAAGAATTTGAATTTTATTGATGCAGAAAACATGGACTAAAATTTCGCCCATCTCATCCTTGAGATTGGGTAAGAAAAAGAGCTTCGGAAGGAGTGAATATGGAATAAAATCTTAAGGCTGTATTTGGACGTGGGAATTGGGAGAGGAAGTGGAAGTGGAAAGAAGTCGGTGAATATATGCTTCCGGTCCCTTGTCTTTCCATTTTTTTTATGATGTCCAAAAATAAAGGATTTTTCATCGAGTCAGTCGGTCCATAAATAAATTGATACAATTAAAGATGTTATCAGCCAAATCCTCCATTTTTGAAACTTTAGATTATCAAATCATACTTTTTATACGATACCTAAATCTATATAGATTTCTAGAATAAGTTTTGTATAGCATGTAGATTTCCTCATAGACTCCCTCCACCCTAAATCTTTTTTCTCTTACTTTCTTTTCCCTCTTTTTCATTTTTTTTCCCTTCAATCCAAATATGAGGCAAATGAGAGAAACACATCATAATTAAAAGAGATTGCTTGATTGTTAAGGTATTGAATAATTTTCTCAATAATTTTATGATGCAAAGATCTATTAAAGTCAAAAGTTGTTAAATCGTACAATTAAAACAGACAAAACCACATTGTCAACTTTAATTTCCTAAAATCTTTAGTATGAAATGAGTCATATAGCATCTCTAGAGATCATATCATTTGTCCGTTTTAATTTTGTCACGTCTCCATCTGGGGGTCTTCAAAAAGCTTACTGGAGAGATCAGGACAAATGTGTGTGGTGTGTGTTGTTTATGCATTCGACGGTAATTGAAAGTCAAATATTTTGGGTTAACTTTGGCAACTAATTTGAAGAAAAATTTGCGTCCAGAGTTGGTGGCTTGTCAGTGAAACATGGCTCTAGTGAAAATTCGAAGTTATGCACGAAGGATAAAAAAGAATGAAAGAATTGGTCTTTGAAAGCAGATTTAGAATAGCTGTATCATCTTCAAAGAGAACTTGTTTTAGTCCAAATTAATGCTCTAGGCTTATTGTCATCGATCTGGCACGTTGCGTGCCTGGAAATGTTTTTACATTATTGATCAAGAAGCAATAAAACAAAGCGATGCAAGTGGGATTGTAGCTTCTTCTGGCTGGCATTGAAAGCTAGCAGAAGTCTGCCATCGAGAAGTCACTCTGCCAAGCATGCATGCGTGCATGTTATCAAGTATCAATTTACTTGTATCTCTTAAACAAGTCTGCCTTCAATGAAACTTTATATAGCAGCTTGGAGCTAGCATGGGAACCCCTCCAGCCCCAATTTGTTAAGAGAGAAAGATCAGATCGAAATGGGCTATTGCACAAATTTCTTCATTGCCTCGTCCATGCCTTCTTTTACAAATTCATGTTCACACGACAGTGTTTAATTTAATCATGCATCCATAGCAAGGTTTTGCATGCTTTTTATTTGGTTTTTACATTGCTTTTTCGATAACCAGAAAAGTTCACCGCCGCCCCGTGCACTTTGAATCCCTTTTGTTTCGGAGATGTCGAACAGACAACGAATGTTGGGTGGTTGTCTAAAGATCTTTGTCATCCATCTATATGATCTGCGTCAAAAAAAAAAAAAAAGGTCCTCTTTTCGGCTGAAAGACAATGGTAGTGCCTGTCTTGTTCTTTGCCTCTAAACAAACTTAGCAACGTAGCAAAGCTGATTTGTGCGTCTTTTTCAATTCACGATAGTCTCTATTTGATCTATGTGATTATTATGTTCCAGAATCCCTCTTCTGATGATTGATCTGCAATCAAAATTACAAAAAGGGATCTTTACATTACCATTATTTTCCTCCTCTAGGATTGAATCCTTTAACTCTAATTACCTAAAACTAGAGCTAGAAAGATAGACTGTGCTTCTAGGTTCATATTGTATTGGATTTGTTCACATTGGTCCATGTCTAAAACTCACTTTCCCCATTACCAAACACGTTTAAAAGGCCATGGAAACCACGTAGTGGATTTGTTCTGAACTTGGAAAAATCTGTACTCTTGTGAGTCAGCATATACTATTGCTGAGTGCTGACTGTACTGAAAATAGTCAAATAACTAATGAATAATTTAGTTATCTAACCCAATCTATAAAATAATACATCAGGCCAAACCCCTTTTTTGCATACCCCAATAATATAAAGCCAGCTTGGTTCATTGGGGCCTATAAAGGAAAAGAAAGGTTTAAGCTTCAGAATGGTGGCGCTAGCTGGGACAGCCACTTAGAGTCAATTTGGCCCCAACTGTTTTTATTGCGATACAAAATCAGGAACCTGCAGATATTATCACTGGTTCAAACCTGACTGAAATTGGCAATCAACACACATGCCAATATGTTTAATTGCCTTAAGATTGAATAAAGTAGCCAGACAATTTAGATTTTACAAATCTTATTACACTGCATAAGATCCCGACAGAATGCAAACCATATCAAATCTGAACAACTGGGTAAAATGATGAAAGTTCAGGCATGGAGTAAAGATGAACTTTTCTTAGGAAAAAATGTCCGAGAATTCAGAGAAGTAGCTTCACCATTCAAGGGTCACATTACAGTCGTCAAAAGACCGTTTTGTCGTATTGGAGAAGAAGAAAATAAACATGATTTTATGATAATAATCATAACCAAAGAGCATGGAGGAGAAAGCGTGGAATCAATGTAAAAGAATGGTCAAAGAAAGACGCGCCAGGTTATGAAGGATTTGATTGACTGCCTTTTATTTTTCCTTACCAGCCAACTTGGAAGAGAAACAAACAACACTGTTTAGTTTCTTTCTGGTCAGCTTTAGGGCAATGGCCACCACTTTTGCTTCATTTGTTTCGTTTAAGTGATCACGGTAAAAAAATTCTTTTATCACATCATTGTTAATTCCAAAATGATATTATGATGTGACAAAAAAGATTTTTGTTTTTCTTCGATCATTCAAATAAACTTTCATTAAAGAAATTTCGAAAGGATTAGGCCTCAACATCCAAAATTTTCATTTGCGCATTCCGTTTGATGTTTGATTATTATTTCTTGAATTTGATAAGGGAGTAGTGCACAAAATAGGAGGCAAACTTGCTGGAGCTGTTAAGATTAGTAGTATAGCATTAATGAAAGTGCATCACTAATGACATTAATGGACCATGTCAGCAATAGCAAGAAAAGGTAGGTTAATTGAAACAACCCCCTTCTTTGAAAGTTGAAATTACTCAACATCTTCATCAATTCAAACCACAATCCATAAACCCCCCATTTCCTCTTCTTCCTATTTTTCTTTTGTTTGTTTAAAAAGAGAAACAAAAGGATAATTATAACCATTTAAATTAATCCCAACTAGAAACTAAATATAATATTCAAATGCCCATTTTTCATGACCATAAAAAAAAAGTAGTGGTGAGAAAAACAGCATTGTTAAAAATGATGATCATATAATATACCTTATAAAATATGTTTTTTTGACAAGATGTTGGAATGTGATCTGAATTCTATGCAAAAGAAAGATGTTGAAGCATGCAATATTTCTTTGCTTTTTCTTTTTTTTTTTTTTGGTTAGAAAGTAGAGCAACTGAACTCCTAATTAATGTCTTTTAACTGTCCAGTCATTGAATTCTTCTCTATTCTCTCTCTTTCTCTGTGAAGGATTGAGGCACTTGACAAGAGGAAAAAAAAAGTTATAAGAAAAATATTTTAAAAAAAAACACAAGGGAGACATAAAAGTGAGGAATATTCTTAGCAAATGAATGAGTTTAGTGTCTATTTAGATTTAATCTTATATTTGATGTTATGTAATTGAACTCACTATATTTTAACTAAATTCAAATATTAATTTTAATAAAATTTATTTAATATAAAATTTTTTTAATTATAATTATAATAATTTTTTTCAATCGTAATTATAATAAATTTTATCATTTATCTAAACGAAACCTTATTGAGTTAGTAGTATAATATGATAGCCTGTCTTCTTTTCTTTCTTTTTTTTAATCTATGATAACTTGTGAAAGATGGAATTTATGTCCTTTATTTTTTTTAATAAAATTTTCTTTATTATTCTTTCTGTCCTAAATCATGAAAAGATGATTGATGAAATTGAATGTAACAAGGAGAGCAAGAAATAAAATTGTAGACAACGCAGTACTTACTTCTTGTTAGGAAAACCTAAAAATAAACAATTAATGCTAAATCGAAGGAACATTAAATTTAAAACAAAATAAAAACCCCAAAAGGCCAACAATAATAACAAAAAAAAAACCCATCTTTGAAGAAAGGGAGAGTAAAAAGAAAATGGAAACAAAACACTGACAGGATCAGGCAATCAGTGTCTTTATCTCCATGAAAGATGACCAGTCAGAGGAAAGCACAAGTGTCATTTAACTCATTAGGGTGAGAAGGCAGTTTGCGGTACCCAGCAGGCAGCAGAAGCAGCAGCAGCTTAAATATCAAAGATTTATTTATATATGGAGAGGTATTCAATGAGTCCTCCATCCCAAACCCCAAATGCCATCCCCTAGGCCTTTGCTGTCAACATTGTCTTCTTTTTTCCCATCAAAGAAATTGGAAAGAGACAAACCAAAGTACATGGATAGATAAGAAAGAACGAATGGAAAAAAAAATATAAGAAAAAAAAACTACACAAGTAGGGCAAGAGACCGTAAGAGCTTTAAAGAATACGTATTGGATAAAAGCAAACACAAACTCTTATTTCTTTTCTTCTTTTTCTCTATTAGCACTGAAAAGAAAACTGGCACGCATAACCCTAGCCACTATCAGCATTATCTTCAGCCAGTGGTGCAGCTGCTTGCAGAAGGGTGCAGAGATATGCATGATCAGTTACAAACTTCAAATTAAAGCTCAGCTCACCTCTCCCATTTGCCACCAGATAATTAAAAAAGCAAAGAATCTGTCAAATATCTAAATTCTAAACATGTCATGAACAGAAAAAAAAAAAGGCAAAAACCCAGTTTAACCAGAAGAAAGTTTATTTTGACGTATGACAATTTCGACAACCCACACCCTGATTAAAGAAGATTTTCCAGGGTCTGATTAGAGGCTCAGTCAAAGCCAATGACTTTGCTTTTTCAGCTTCTCCAAAGCTTTCAGGTTTTTTAACACATTTTCTCCAGAAGAAAAGAACATAGAAGAACAACAACTGATCGTATATAAAAGATTAATTAAAAAAATTAAAAACAAAGGTAAACTAATGATCATATTATGATGAAATGACACACTACATAACCGTAAAAGAAAGAAAGAAAAATAAGATCACCTGAACTGCATTTATTCACAGTGCTCCCCAAAGAAGAAAATAAAAAAAATAAGAAAAAAAAAAAAAGCTGAGAAAGCTAAAACTTTGAACTCATTAGTAAGGCGGTGGTGGTCTAGCAGTTGGAGCCCAAATTACATCTGAACCACCTAAATGACAACTATACATCGAAACCCCACAAGAATCTGCCCCAACACCGTGACCACTATCTCCACCACCACCAGACAACGGTGGCGACTGTCCTTCACCACCACCACCGCCAGATGACACCGTATTCCTCGCTTCTTCTTCTATTGGTAACCGATGATACGAAGGGTTGTTAAACGTAGCAGCCACTATAAACACGGTGCCAGCTGCTGCCAAGGAGCCAGTAACGAACCCTCCAACGATCTGCCCTTGAGGACCCGCTAAAGAGATGGAGAAAGTGTTGGGCACGTGACACGATGCCGTTTGAGGTAGAAACGTGGCGGAGAGGGATAAGATGTCGAATCTACCATGGAAAGTTATGGTAGCTCCTGGAGTTGTTGAAGGTTGACGGAGAGTTACATTGGAAACGGTTCCAGATCCTGTAAGCACGCAGATTCCAATGTTTTTGCGATGAGAGAAGCGGGAGATAGCTTCGACAACGTCGTTTCCACCAGGGATTTCGAGAATGTAAGGACTCATGGAGGGGTCGGGTTCGCGAGCGATGATGACGGGTGGTTTGAGCTTATTTTTGGAGCCTGGAGGACGACCTCTTGGTCTACGAATGACTTCAATAGTAGCTCCATCGCCACCGCTAGTACCACCACCGCTGCCACCACTAGGGAGAATAGAGTTGTGGTTGGTGGAACGGTCTTTTGGGATAGGGGTAGTGGTGTGGCTGGTGTCATCAGAGTCAGGGGGTTGAGATTCGCGAGAGAGTTGGAAGTGATGAGAGAAAGGGTGGTTGAGTTTTGAAAACATGTTGTTGGGGTTTTCATTCTTGGATTCTACATATTCACCTTTCATGTTGTGAAGGGAAAAAATTTTTTTCCTTTTTTAGAAAATATAAATTTCTTTTGTCTATATGTATGATTGGTGAGATTTTGGATGTGGGATTCTGTAATAAAATAAGGGGAAAACGTTTAAAATGCAAGAAAATAACAAGAGAAAGAACGAGATTGGAATGGGAAGGCAGATGGGTTGTGTAGGAAGAAAGAGCAGGGGAAAGACAGATTGGTGGCGTCTGGATTTGTTTATAGTAGGGGGGATAATAAATGGGGAAGGTAGGTGAGCTTTGAAACAAAGTAAAGACTAATGGCGCCTCTGGTTGGAGGGTCCACACATCCAACGTGAGAGAGAGAGAGAGAAAGAGAGAGAAGAAATTTGACAAAATGGGAAAGTATAGGACATTGGTTAGCTCAGCCTTTGTTTTTGCCTTTATTTTTCTTCTTCAAGTTGGAAAGTAAAGGAGAGACACATGAGACAGAGAGGGATGGGAAGAGTCGTTTGGCCATTGGGTCCTCCCGACCGACTGGATTGACAATGACTCCTTGATGTTCTTCTTTTGGGTCATGGGGGATGCCTTACTCTCTTTTTTTTCTTTTATTATTTTTTTGAACTCTTACTAATCTAATTCTAATATTTTTATCATTTGGGGCTTACCAAAATTTTCTTTTTTTTTTTTTTGTTTTTCTTCGTTTGTGTGAGAGAGCAATGTTTTATTCATTATCTGTATTATTATTTTTTTACTATGATTATTATATTTCTATCTCAAAAAGGTCGCAAAATGAATTGGATTATGTTCATTATTTTTATTATATTAAAATATAATAAAAAACAGTTAAATTCATTGAAATGAATCTAAACTCATAAATTAATTTAAAAACTTGAATTAAAATAATTTAAATTAAAAATAATGAAATTTTATTGATGATGTTTTTAGATGTCTTAATTGAAAAAAAAAAGTGTGAGGTAGGAAGGAAAAAAAGCTGTAACTTACAATCAAAAAGCACGATTAAAAGATACAGAAATTGTTAGTCTAAGGTGCATTTCGATGCTAAAATCAATAATAGAAAATAAGGGGAGTGAAGATGGTGAAATGTGTTGGAAAAGCTTTAAGAGATAGAAAGCTTAGACAAAGAATGATAAGCTTAGTTCTCTGTTATCTTATGTATCCGATTTTTTTTTATCTTTTGTGTAAAACAAAGATTAATAACTTGATTGAGATAATCGATGGTTGATGAAATATCTGCATAAAATTATAAAAAAAAATCATGCGAATGGATAGAAACTGTATTTAATAATCTAGATAAATATAAATTATATTCAATAATTTTAATAAATTAAATATTAATAGACCAAAAGTTATTACTTTGATAAGTTATTGATAAGATTTTAGACGAGTTCTTTTGATAAAAAAAAAATCACTTCCTTAAAATAAATTATATGATGTGATTATTCGAAATATTTTATTTGAATGACACGATAACTTAATTATATTAATCAAAATTTAATCGTTGATCAATTAATTAAAGTGTAACAAAACTCATAGCTATTCGAATCCCAAATTATATGAAGTTTTTGTCTAATTTCTAGCTAATCTAGATTGGGGCTCTCTCCCGTTTCTTCTCTCGTGAAAATGCTCAAAATCTCAGCCAACTTACTTCGACAAGAAGGTGGTTTTTCTCCCCAATCCTCATGTGCTTAAAATATTAAAGTTGGTAGGCGGTTTTCAAGGATGATTGTCTTCCTTTCCTTTTTTATTTTATATGTAATAGTACAATGAGACATGATCAAAGTGAATTCAAGGCTCATAATCATTTTGCTTAGGAAGCACATTTTGAGTTTTTATGCCATCCCAAAAAAGTCAAAGAAAGATTGCTATTCATAATATATTCTTTTTTTTTTTTTTTGAAACCAATGAGAAATGTGACAAGTAAATATCAAAGTGGACCCAAGTAAATTAGAAAATCCTGCCTCATGCTATTAAAAGAATAGTAAATAACACTTAGATATCACAAAGTCAACAAGAGCCTCAATTGAAGTGGTATAACTTTTACAATATTTATTAACACTCCATGAATTCAAAACTTATTTTAGTTCCAACATAATCATCTTTAAGATAAAATATTCAATATTTTAAAATTTTAATATCTATGATTTTTTTTTTAATATCTAGGTTTCTCAATAATTGTATAATGCAAGAAAACTACGTACCTAACATGTCATTTTTTTTTTCATGTAAAAATTTGGACTACAACATGAAACGTATATAGGTTTTTTTCAATACCTCTTAATCTATTACTCGTGAAAATTGATGCGTCGCCATAAGAGAAACATGTGTAATTTCTTTAAAGAGGAAGAGGAAAAAGCAAAATGGAAACAATGAATCTGGCCATGAACTCAGAGGCAGCTAGCTAAGTTATTTGTCAAAGAATAAAAGAAAAAGCAGCAGCTAGGGTTGAAAGACAAGGATTGCATAACAAGTTGAAACTGATTGCCAAGAATCTTAGTTGAAACTTACCCGTTTATGGATGAGGAAATGCAGCTATATATGTAGCACCCACTTGAAAAAGTATGGGAAACCTTGAGATGTTAGGCTACCCCTCCAAAGCTAGATGGTCCAATTAATCATCATTATTTTACCCTAGCAAGTGAGATTTTGTTACTATAAGTTGGAAGCATCCTTCAAGCTGCTTTTTCCTTTTTTTTTTTTTCTTCATTAATTTCGATATTTCTAACTAATTAATATTTTATAACCATTTATGAGCAATTTTTTTTTAACAGTTGAACACTTCAACATTTTTCATAAATTAATAACCATTGATATTTATTGCTAGTTCATGAAGATCCTTACAAAGCGTATTAATATCTGTTTTAGAATTGAAAATTTTGAATTCGAATTTCAATTATAATTTTAAAAAATTACTTAAAAAGCATACATAGGTGATAGGATCACTAGATAAATTATCTTAGGAAAATTAATTTGCATAAAGCAAGCGGTCATTGTATAAAGTAAGGTTTGTGAAATGAAATTTTATGGCAAAGCTTTAGTCCAAAGCATGGGATAACTTTAGCATGACAAAGGGATGAAAAGATTTATTAAAAAGCAGATGTTGCTAAATTGAGTAACTAAAATCGAACAAGACAAGTATGCGACAGTAAAGGAAAGTAAAGGATTTATACTGATAAGGAAATGTTAGCATCAAACAACAGATTTTAAGACAAAGCAAAAGCCAAAAGTGAAGCTTGAGTTCGACGTTAGTTCCTGTTGACTGTTTGTCACATATAAAGTGAAAAAGAAAAAAAAAAATATGCCTCAGCAAGTTTCAGTTCTAATTTATCATATTTCTTTTGAATAATTTAAAAAAAATAGTGAAAATATTATTATACAATTTTGAACCTTATTGATATAATTTTTTATTAATTATTATGGAACTTGCATGAATTTGAATCGGAGAGTGTTTCAGATCTATCAACGGACTTGTTTTAACACTCAAATCTGTCAAATATATATATATATATATATATATATATATATATATATAACGTTAAAGAGAAAAGATAGTGAGAGAAAGTAAAAAAGATGTTAAGTAGAAAATGTTGTATGTTTGATTTGATTCTCCATTTTTATCCATGGATGATGCTATAGTAGTCGAAGATGTAATTATGTCTTAAAGTCATATATAAATACTGATGATGTGGTAGTCAAAATGTTACCGACATAACCAATAATAGAGATGAAGAAAAATAGAAAAATACGAAAATTAATTTGATATCGTTATGTTCGATTTGATTTGGATTTAATTTTATTCAATTCGATTTAAATTCAGATATTAAATGTTTTTATTAGGTTTAGATTGAGAAGTGAAAATTTTAAAAATATTCAAATCAAATCAAATTATATATATTTTTTTAATTTTATATATTTAAAATTTTTATAAAATAAAATAATTATTTTATATCTAAATATATTTAAATATATTACAAATTATGTTAAAATAACATCAAAAAAATAGAACAAAGAAAATTCAAAAATCAATGAATTGAATCAAATTTATAAAATTCAATTTAAAGCATATCAATTTCAAAAGAAAATCAATTTAAATTCATATCAAAATTTGAAATTTTATAATAATAAATTTTTAAAAAAACCAAATTAAATTTTATCCGGTCATATTATCATTCCTAGAAAAAAAACTTACATAAAATTTCATAAGTGAAATTTATGAAATTTTTTATTAAAAATAAATAAATAAAACCTATAATCGAAAATCAAAATCAGCAAATTAAAATATCTAATTATATAGATCAAAAGTACATAATTTTTAAAAATTAATAATTTTTGATATATTTATTAAATAAATATTTTTAATAAAAATATTAATAAATTTTTTATTATTAAATAAATATAAATTAAATTATAAATTATAAATAATATTTTTAATTTTTATATTAAATTTTATTAATCTATCAATTTAAATTTAATTAAAATTTTTATTTATTTATTTTTAATAAAAAAATTTATAAATTTCACTTCCATAACTTCACGTAAATTTTGCCAGTCACAACTAACCATTAACGTGAAACAACACAAAGCAAGCTTTTCTTTTCCCTTGTTTTATCGTGATTTTGTGCAAAGGTGAACAAAATGGTGGGAGAAGATGCTGATTTTCCCATATCATTTTATGATCCCAAGGAAAAAATTAACCGATCAAAGAGTAAAGACAGGACGGATTATATAGGTTAATAGCTATCTAGATGAGGTTTGTTGAAAAAGGAGGTTAGATTAGCCAACTAGGTAAAAGTTAAAACTTAAAAGCCGAATCACAATGGGTCTTTTTTTTTTGTTTTTGGCATCTTAGTCATTTCATCACTAAAGCAAAAGTAAAGAAATAAAAAATAATATTTTTTAAATAGTACTATAAAAACAAAAAAATAGGCATCCTATCTGTTTAATTTGATGAGTAAAAACCAACTTGTGAAAACAATAAATCTTGATTAAATCATAAGGCAACCCTCAAATTAATGATATCTTTATTGAATTCTTTAAATTAATTAATCATCCTAAACAAAATTTAAAAATCTAATGAATCAACTAGATTAATTTTAAGAATAATGATCCAACGGTTGAAATTTGGATTAATGATTCGTGTAGCTAAATAAGATAAAATACAACACTTAATCACTATAAACTTAGCACAAAAGGTCCAAAAGGTGAAAGGGGTAAAAAAAAAAAAAAAAAAAAAGGATTGCCGGCGT